CTCTGGTGATCTCCGTGTTTTTGAGTTAGAACTCCTAGAGCATTGCCCTTACTTTCCTGAGTGAAAGGGAAGAAGGGAAGTTTAGAGTTTGGATGCCCCGGGGCAGGAGCTTTAGAAGGTCCTTCCTTAAAAGTCTCTACAGCTTGTTTCCCTTCAGGGTTCTACTGAATTGGATCCAGTTTGTCTGACTTTAAAAGGGCCCCTTTTTATGTTTAAAGGGGCATAGAGAGGCTGGGCTACCAATGAAAAATCCAGTCAAACCCAGGAATTTTGTTTTTGGAAGAGGAAAAGATAGGGTTCCTCTAAGTCTTTCAGGGTTCATTAGCAGCCCATCTTTAGATATACGATGGCCAAGGTATTTTATGGGGTAAGCAAAACTGAAGCGTATCCTCTGAGACCTTATGTCCCTTTACAGCTAGCTGCTGCAATAGGTAAATTGTGTCCCTTTGAGAGTCTAGTAACGTCCTAGAGCATAAAAGTAAATCATCCAGCCCTAGCTGGTTTTGCTCAGTGGATAGAGCTTTGGCCTGAGGACTGAAAGGTCCCAGGTTCGATTCTGGCCAAGGGCACATGCCGGGTTGTGGGCTCGATCCCCAGTGGGGGGCTTACAGGAGACAGCCTATCCATGATTCTCTCTCATCATGGATGTTTTATCTTTCTCTCCTTCTTCCTTTCTCTCTGAAATCAATTAAAATGTATTTTTTTAAAAAAGTAAATCATCCACATACTGGATTAGAGTGGGATCTCTAGGAAATGTAACATCATTTAGATCCGCTTTTAGTATCTGGGAGAAATAGGTGTGACTCTGAATATATCTGGGGCATCACAGTCCAAGTAAATTGTTGATCTTCCCAAGTGAAGGCAAAGAGATACTGAGTGTCCTTTTCTATTGGAATGCTGAACAAAGCACTACATAAATCTATTACTGAAAAATATTGGCAGTCCACAGGAATATCTGCTAATAAGGTATGTGGACTTGGAACCACAGGATTTCTAGTAATAACTATCCTATTTATAGCTCTGAGATCCTGTACATATCTCCATTCTTTCCCATTTGGTTTCTTTACTGGAAGGATAGAATTACAGGGGCCTGTACATGGAATTATAGGTCCCCTTTTATGTAATCTTGTTAAAGGGCTTAATTCCAGCCAGTGCATTGGGTCTTAGAGAATGCTGGTGAATATTAGGTAGAGGCAAAGTATTACCAATAGTTATTGAAATAGGAGTGGCTCACTTGATCTTGCCTATATCTGCATTGGAAAGGGCCCAAAGTTGCATTGGAATTTCCTGCAAAAAACATTCAGTTTCAAGATTATTTTCCTCTGGTGGAAGTTCCTTTAAAATCATTATTTTCCCAATTGGTTCAGTGTCTGACTCGTTTAGCTCTAAATACATTTCACTCTTCCAGGAAAAGGATGTGTGGCATCATGGGTTTCAAGAAAACCTCTCTCTACCAGGTGAATTGGAGTTCCGATTTGATCAGTAACAGTGTATGTTGCTCCGTAACATCTCCTAGCAGAAAGGGGACAGGTTCTGACTTAAAAACAGTCATTGGTTGGTTAGATACCCCTACCTTTTGTACAGAAGCTTTACTCTGAGGAAGAGGGAAACTTAAATGGGTAGGGTTAAGGACAGATAAAGTGGCCCCAGTATCCACAAGGGCTTTAGTAACTTCTCCTTTTATGATAATTCCAATTTCTCCTAAAGTTTTAGTAAAGAGAAGGGGAAGTATCCTCTCATAGGCCTCAGAGCAGCCCTACACTTGCTTCTGTCTCTTTTCTCTTTGTAAATCCCATTTCAGTTTTCTACCTTCTTTCCTGTGGTGGCCTGGCTTTTTACAGTAAAAACAGACTCCTTTCTCTCCTTTTCTAAGAGACTTCTGAGTAAAATTGACTTGGTAGCTTAATTGTTGGAGCTGTAAGTTCATACTTTGGGCAGCTTTATCTTTTTTCCTCTTTAGGGTAGTTTAGATAGCTGATCAGCCAGAATAGCCAGTTCTTCAGCATGAGCGGCCTGCCAGTTTAATTTGTGTTGTTTGATCAAAGTTACAAGCGCTTCATCTAGTCCTTCCCAAAATGCCAAATTTAATAAGGGATCATTTTGATGATCCTTGAAACTATCTGGCGACAGACATGAGTATCATTTGAAGGTTTTTTCAAAACGTTCAAAGAAATCAAGCACTGGTTCATCGGGCTTTCTTTTACATTGCTGGATCTTGATCCAGTCCATTTTCCAAGGAAACATCTCAGGTGTGGCTTGATAAAGCCGATGGGCCAATTCCCTGCATTTTTCTCTGTCTGTCTCTTTCTGTTTTAATAAATCATTTACAGGAGTCTGCCAGGGAACCTTATTCAGCCATTCTGCTGCCTTGCTCTCAGAAACCAGTAGGTGTATTAATTGGAACAGGTCAGAATAGCCAGGATCACATGTCCTAACAGTTAATCCAAATTCCTTTGCAAACCCATCGGGGTCCTGGAGAGGGTCAGGAAAATCTTTAGTTAGGTTTCTTAATTCTGACCTAGTCCAAGGAACATATACAATTGCTGGATCCCCTCTGCTGAGACAGGCTTTTCCTGGAAAGGAGCTGCTAGAATTCCTGAATTATCTTTCTCTGAGTTTGTATTATCATTTTCCCCCAGGTCAGCAGGGAATGGTAGTAGAGGGGATACAGAAGAAGGAAGAAGAGAGGTGGAGGGCAAGTCTGCACAAGGAAGCTCAGAGAGCAAAGGGTATAGAAGAGGAGCAGTAGAACAGGGAGGAATGGGGTCTTGGCACTTACTAGTACTTGCTTCAGAAGCCTTCTTTAGTTCAGAGACAGTCTCTCTCTAAAATTTTCTTATTAACTTCCTATACAGAGAATATTTTAACTGATCCTCTCCTAGAAGCCTCTAATTTCCAATCAAGATAAGCTTCCCATTCATTTAATTTAATTTTAGAGCTGGCTTTTTCTAATTGAGGACACAGAAAAATAAATTTGGAAGTATCAAAAGGTCCCCACTTTAGCCATTTTAAGCTGATATCATTTTTAGTTAAATTTTCCCATTTTTATGGATACTTGCAAGTTGAAATTCCATATGAATTGTACATGTACCCTGCTGGAGTGTTAACAGAGGGCTGGGATTCTTGGGGTTTATCAACCTTAGAGGTGCAATTTCCCATCTTTTAAAATTTTATTATTATTTTTGGCTATCTGCAGGAGTCTGAGCAAATTTTCTAGGGATGTTATGTAGTGGGTTGCAAAGTGTATGGCTTATGGGTTGAGCTCCATGAGACTCTCACACCTCATGTCCCAATTCAACCCTCTTACGTATCTCAGTTTCTCTCCTGCATATCTAAAACAGCCAGAAAGGCTTGGGGTACTGGCTTACCAGGCTTTATGGGCGCTCCCCCAGATGAGCCAGTCAGTTAATTACAGTGGAGTTGGAATTTTCTATGGGGCAGCCTGCATGTCATGAGGTATAACCTCTGACACCTCCACAAAAGTTCTTAGTCGCCTAAAAACACCCGAGAATCTGGGCAGGAGGGAGGATGTGCCCCTTTATCTTTGGAGCTGAACAAGTTCAGCTCTCATTTATATGGGGAAAGTTTTTTGCTCAGACTCTCAGAAAGCAATTCCAATTGAAGAGCCCAAATCAAAACCAGCCACCTGTTTTTTCCTCCAGTCTTTTCATAATCTGGGTTCTATCAACCCTTAACCTTAGTTCCACCTCAAGGATTTTAAAACACAGCTCAAACAAAGCCAGACCATCTACCAAAGCAAGGGAAGGTCCTGGATCCAAGATACAACTCACCCAAGTTTACCCAATGGGCAGGGAACCAGCGGACTCAATGGGCCCTTTGCTGGATCTTAGCACCGAGTCCAGGTCCACTGGACAGTCCTGGGTGAGCTTCTTTGGAACGCTGCTGTTACTACTCTAAGTAATGTTAACGTACAAACATTCAAACATTTAAAGAATTTTTGTGAGTTTATTTGAGCCAAACAGACGACAATTGCTGGGAAGCAGTATCTCAACAGATTGGGATAATGCTCTGAAAAATGGAGGGTTTTTACCTTGTTTTTATAAATTACCATCAAAGGGGAAGACATAAGTGGTTACATGAAATCCACTGGTGACAGATTAGGGAGGTGGGAGAAAGCAAAGAGGGGAAACCTCTGGGATTAGATAAAAAGTGAAATGATGGCCATATGCTTCTTTTACACAGATGAATACAGGATAGTTTATATAGTTAACAGTCGACCATTAACATGATAACAATAACAGTGAGGGAATTTGTGGTTTTCACCCTGGTGCCATTTGTTGTCCCCTGAGGGGTCTGGGAAAAGGGAAGTTACAAGTTACCCTGACATTCCACAGGGATGTTATCTTAGATACAAAAAGACAATAGACTCAGTAAAGATGGAAGTTGATCTTTGTCAGGGAAAATACTGGCTTAGGACATGACTACCCACTATAGACTGCTTCTAGTTAAATGTTTAATTTTAGACCATGGTTTGTGGTTACTTTAGGTCAGGGGTCCTCAAACTTTTTAAACAGGGGGCCAGCTCACTGTCCCTCAGACCGTGGGAGGGCCGGACTATAGTTTAAAAAAAAACTATGAACAAATTCCTATGCACACTGCACATACCTTATTTTGAAGTAAAAAAACAAAACGGGAACAAATACAGTATTTGTATTTGCATGTGGCCCACGGGCCGTAGTTTGAGGACCCCTGCTTTAGGTCTTTGAGTTTGCACAACCGCCATGCAGGCCTTCCCTGAACTAGTAAAGTTAGTATGTGGCCTTTTTTTTTTTTCTTTTTTTCATCCATAGCTCTTAGAGATGGGGGCCCCCTCCTCTTCCTGGTGCTGTGAGGGAGACCCCTTACAAATGCAGGTTTCCCTCACAAATGTAAATGCCTCCTCAGCTTTCAGAGCTTCCCATGGCTGTGCTTTCTTAAAAATAACCAGCTCAAATTAATATCCCAGAGGTGACGGGTTCTTCCCTTCACTGCCTTTGTAGACTCTGAGAACAACCCAAAGGTGACGTCCATCCCTGAGGGGGAGATGGAGAGGAGCCAAGAGCTGAAGGAGGACGGTGGTGCTCCCAGCCAGCCCAGCCAGCCGCTGGGCGCGGGTACGAGGCCTGGTGGCCGCAGAGGGTCTCTGCAGGGCCAGGCTGCAGGGAGAGCAGAGGCCTCAGGAGACAAGTCTTCAGGCAGCTCGGCACCCCAGGATCAGACCAGAGGAGGTGCCCCCCGAGGAGGGAAGGACCAGGAGGGGGCCGGCCCCACTGCCTCTGCCAGATGGAAAGAAGGTGTTGCCCAGGAGCTCCCGCTGCCCATGCCACAGGGGGGCCCCTCAGAGCCCAGGAAAGACCCGCCAGCCATCGGGCAGCAGACGGGGCCCCCTGCCTCCAGGGTGAGTTGTGGGGAGGTGTGAGGACCAGGGTGGGCCTGCTATGTCCTTGACGCCTGGCTGTGCAGTGTGGTTCCAACATGGCCTCCTGGTCTGGGAAGGGCATCCTCTCCTCCTCTGGGACTTCTCTTGGAAATGGGGAATGGGAGAGGCTGCCCTCCGCCCCAGCTGCTGACCCTGTCACTGTGCCTATGACCCTGATGTCACCTGGCTGGAGACGATGCTGACCCTCACATCGTTGAGTCACAGTCTCCCTGTCCATGTGGTCTTCTTGGCCCTGATGTTTGGGGGCTTTAGTTTTTCCAGGAAACCATTGTCGCAGCCGAGCCAGCAGAGCCAGGGACAGAGGCTGAGAACAAAGCCCATAGTAAGACTCAGACACTGAAACAGCCGCCTGCTGGGGCCCCTGCCTCCTGGGAGCACTGCCATGTGAGGGTCTTGTTCTGTAGGAGGCGTTGTGGCCCTGCGGTCTGTCCCACAGTTGGCTCCTCTCATTCAGTTTTTTGCCGATAGGTGCTGGGGTGGAGCCCTGAATGATCACTCCTGCCTCAGAGCTCACTCTCTAGAGGGGAGATGGGCCATGGGGAATGGATGAGGACAGAGGGCACTAGGGTGCACCCAGGGGACATGCCTGGGATGGCCTCTCCCACGAGGGGTTTCTTGCAGTGAAGGCCTGGATGGGCAAGAGGCAGGCCATGGGGAGACTGGGGACGTGGCCCCGGCAGAAGGAATGCTAGGGCCAGGGCCTGAGGCAGAGTGTGGTGGCTGTTCAGTGATCAGCAGGAAGCTGGTCCCAGGGAACAATGAGGGGAGAATTTGGGTGTGGAGTCCTCAGAAGCCATGGTGGGGGCCCAGACCATCAGGGGCAACCTTGGAGGTTGGTGTTAAATGTGGGTGTTTGGTTACTTGTCCCAGGAAGCCAAAACCAAACACAAGATTGCCATTTCTGGGAGGAAAGCCAATCCAGGAAACCCAAAGGAGCCTGAAAGGGGCCATAGGAGCAACACGGCTGCCCTGAAGGACAAAGACCAGAAGGAGCGGAAAGCTGATGCTTGGGAAGTTCCAGTGAGGTAGGGTGTGTGGCACAGGGGGCCGTGGGGCCATGATGCGGCCTGCCCCACAGATGCAGGCACAGTGCCCACCCGCCCCACTGAGGGCATTCCCAGGTTCCGGAGGGAGACAGGGGAGTCCCTGGGGTCCCAGAGGTGGCACTGGCCTCACAGAACTTAGGAGAGCACTAGCCAGCCCCTCCCCCCCTTCCCCAGCACTTCCAGGGCAGATTATCCCCTGCCCTATGCCCACCTCCCACCCCTGTAGAGGGGAGGCGAGAGGACCCACAACGCAGGTGGTAGGTTTGAAGTGTCAACGTGCTTGATTTTTGCTGGGTGTGTGTTAATGTGCAGTGAGGAAACACAGATCACATGTGTGTGCATGTGTATGTGTGTGTGTGTGTCCATGTGTGAGTATGTCTACATGAGTATGTGTGTGTTTTTATGTGTGTGAGTATGGGTGTGTGTTTATGCATGTGCGTGTGCTTACATGTGCATGAGTATGTGTTAGTATTTCTATGTGTACATGTCTAGGTAGACAGAGTTGGGGTCTAATCATCATTTTCTGGTGGCTTTCTTGCAGCCCCTTAGGCCCCGGGGAGGGGGTCAGAGTGTTCTTCCACGCCATCCTTTCCAAGGACTTCGGCTTCGACCCTGACCAGCACCAGATATTTGTCCGGGGTGGAGAAGAGCTGGGGAAACCAGAATGGAGCATCAACGTGTGCGAGCTGCACATCACCAAGTGAGTGTCCTTGGCTCACAAGCAGCCCCACAGGGATGTACTGACATCCATTCTTTGAAATCTATCGTGACAGTGCTTTTTAGCAAAACTGATGACATCCTAGGCTTTTGGAAAATGAATATTTCAAACAGCTCTTCCCCTCAATGCACTTGCCCTGTGTCCCCAGGGCCCGCTGCCCCTCGTTCTGTCTGGGGACAGGGCCTCAGCTGGCGTCCATGTGTAGCTCTCGCTATGCACTCCATGCTGGGTTTCAGAAGAACTAAACTTCCAAGAGGATTTTCTGATAACTGGCTGGTGTCCCCTCTGTTCACAGAACCTTAGAACAGGTCGGGGCCCTCATTGAAGGCTGTGCCCTCCTTTCCAAGCGGCTCCTGGACAGACCCGTTCCATACAAGTATGTGGTCATAGGTAACAAAGGCTCTGTTCAGTATGAGTTCATCGACAAGCCGCAGGACAAGGAGAACAAGCATGTCAACCGCTGCCTGCACCTGAAGTCATCGCTGCTGGGCTCAGGAGGTATGTCCCGTGGGCAGTGGCCGCAGGCACATGCAGGGCATCCCGTGGGCAAAGGCTCCCGGGACCCATGTGGGTCGTCTCTGCTTAGTGGGGCCCCACCCAAGCCCTATGTGACAAACCTGAGTTTGGAAGCAAGTTTTCATCAGTTGAGCCTGAGCACTCACATATGAGAGGAAACAAGGGAAAGGATTTGTCATTAAGCTGCTAGGAGGAAGGAGGCTGGGCACAGAGTGGTAGGCAGGGCAGGAGCAGGAAGAGGCGTGTGGGCCCTTTCCAGGAGATTTCCATGTGGTACCCACCCGCCACCCCACTGTGTGGTAGCGGCCACTCTTCTCTTCATTTCCTATTCTCCGCTTTGTCTTCTTTTTCTTATTTATATCTTTATCTTCCTTTGGTGTTTTTCTTTGCCGTTTTTTACTCACTGCATGCAGTTGCGTGAGTGTGTCTGCGTGTGTGCGTGAGTGTGTCTGTCAGCCCCAGGCCCTGTCTCCTGTACTGTCCTTCATGGGTTGGGCATCCTAACGCCCAGTACGGGGACAGTGGCACTTGCACTAAGTCACTTATGGAGTGGGGCTCACTCACTTGTGAGTGACACAGTTTCAGTATAAAGTCTTTACCCACCGAGTGACCATTTTCTAAGGGGCTCATGTGCCACATTTGCTGAACCATCAAGCTTGTTAAAGACATGTTCAAAGTACATTCAGGCTGCTGGATGGCACCTACCCTTGTATGGCATCTGCATGCCTGTCCTCGACCCAGCAGGCTCCCCACAGGCCGGCCCCAGTGCTGCTGACCTGTGACGGGCATCTGCCGGGAGTGAGGCTGGCTACCTGCCCAACAGTTCTCTAGTCGTCCTTTCTTCCCTTCCTGGGCTCACTCCTTTGCTCCTGCTGGTCAAGAGCCGCCTCCAGGGCAGAGGGTCCAGGTCAGGCAGGTTGTGATGCCTCCTCTCCCCTCTAGGCTGGCATCAGTATGATGACATTATATGCATGAAGTCCACTGAAATCAAGGAGCAAGGCCTGAATTGTGCCAAGGAATGGAAGGGGAAGGAGGTGGTAAAAAGGAAGAAGCAGGCAGCCTCCATCATGCTGGACCATGTCCTCAGCATCCTGCAGACATGGAGCACCATCAACTTGAACAGCTTCTTCATGCAGTTCCGCCAGTTCTATTCTGTCGTCAGTGAGCCCATGGTCTACAAGGAGCAGGCGCAGACCTGGACCTCCCCGCATTACACAAAGAATCAGGTACAGGCTTGGGGGGCACATGCAGCCACTCCCTCCATCTTCTGAGCAGCCAGCATCGCCCCACCTCCTAGTGGCCAGTTGACCCTTAGACTCAATGGGCAGGTGCAGATGGGGGCAGGTGGACCTTCATCTCTTTTCTCCAAATACCTCCTCTTGAGAATTCTTTGTTCTTCCTATTTTCTTCCTCCTCCCACTGCTGGTCCCACCTCCTCACCTGACCCCACCCCTACCACCTGGTTCAACCCCCACTTCTGGCCCCACCTCCTCACCTGGCTCCATCCCTCACCTGGCCCCATCTCCTCATCTGGCCTTCAGACCAAGTAGGAAGAAGGGGTGGAACCCTCCTTTCTGCCTCTCCACTTGCACTGTGGTGGGGCCAGGGTAGTTCTGAGATACATCTGGGCCCACATATGAGATGACCACTGAACCGTCGTAATCACCCAGGCCCTTACCTGAAAGCCCCCCCCCCACACGCTGGGGTCTCCAGACACCATTGTTGGGGGCAGCTCCCAGAGGTCCCAGGCAGCTGGGCCCGGAGAGGGGGTGCTCGGATCACAGAGCTGTCCCTGCCCCTCGGGGCCATAGGCCTCTGCTCAGGTGAGGCGGACCTCGGCACAGTGATGGTGCAGCTCAGATGGGTTCAGCTCCACACTTCTGTCTCCGTTTCCCCTGGGCCAGGTGGGGCAATACCTGTGGGAGTGTTTGCAAAAGCACATGGCACTGTTACTGGAGAAGAGCGAAGACCCTCTGCCCACGGACTTTCCCGTGAGGAGTAAACTGAGGATGGGCCTGATCGCCCTGCACGTGGCCGCAGAGCTGAAGCTTTCCCTCTCCAAGCGTGACCTGGGCACCCTGTGTGGCCTCCTGTGCACCAACCCCAGTTCCCCCGGTGACCTCTTCGACGACCTCAGCCTCATCTTTAGAACATCTCAGAGGTAGTGTGTGTGGATGTGGGTGTGGGTGTGTGTGAGAGAGAGAGGGAGAGAGAGAGAAATGATTTTACAGGCATTTCTACTGGTTTTCATCTGGTTATAAAAATAAGTGATGGTCTAGAGTGGAAGAAAACATACAAGAAATAAAAACTACCTATAATGTTACCACTCACTATTGTCATTTCAACATTTATTCCTCTTGCCCAGCGATTCTCAACCTTTTCACCTCATGGCACAGATACATTAATGACTGGATTTCTGCAGCATGCCAAAAGCACATCTTTGCTGACCTTACCACAGAATAGGTATGACTGTGCTTCATTCACCAGAAGGCTACTGTTGTGTTGGCTGTTGTCATTTTTACCTGACAACCTCAGGGAAAGCGGCCAGGGCCCTGACTCCATAGTTAGGTGGTGCAGGTGTTAAAAGCCTCGAGGCACATCGGTTGAGAATCACTGCTCCGCCCTGTCCCAGGCATCGATGCTCATTTTCTGACATAAGCTGTTGAACACACGGCTCTGCAGAGGCTGTGCTGTGCCACATCACATGATGAGTGGCTGTAGGAGCCCAAGCCCAGGACACTTACAAAAGCAACGTGGGTCTCTGCCACCTCCGAGTTTAGTTCAGGAGACAGGCTGCAGTGCTGGCCAGGGCCGTCGGAAGCGTGAATGTCTGGCCAGCATGGAGGGTCTTGCCTTTTGCCGGGTGGGGGCACCTACTCCACCCTCCGATGGTCCTGGCATCTTGCTGCAGATGCTCGGCCGCTGTCTGACTTGAACTCGAGGCTGATATTAGGTGGCCTGCCCTGACAACAGTGAGTGGTAACATTATGGGTTTTACGAATGGACAAGCCAGCTGAGTGCTGTTCATTTTCACCAAGGGGGGATGGTGGTGGATGGACGAAGTGTGTAGGTGTCCCGAGTCTGAAAGCAGTGATGCTTTGTGATGTAGGAGACACTTGATTATAGGCCCCTCCCATTGAAGAAATTGCTTTACACTTACACTGGCTGTCACCAGAGGCCTGGGATCACGTGCCAGCCAGCCATGGCCCTGGGCAGGGGTGACTTAGCTGCCTGAGCCTCAGTTTCCTCTGCTGTCAAGGAAGATGGAAATGCCGCCAACAGGAGTTTACTGAGGGCCTTCAGTGGAGGTCTCTTCAGTGCCCAATGCATTGGGGTTCACACGAGGGCACCCTATCTCCCATGGGACCCTGTTACTCCCTGGTCCAGTCACTCTGCTCAGCCACCCACAGTGGGTCTCTGTCCCATTTCAGGTGGCGAGAGTACCTGGTGAACCTGTGTGGAAGGAGCATTGACCAGGGGGTGGACCTCTGGGTGGGCACCCTGCCCGTGCTCCACCTCTGCATGGGGCCACTCCTCCCAGGACGGGAGCCCCGGATTCAGCCTGAGAACATCTGGGCAGCCCTCGAAGGAATCTCTTTCTCAGAGTTTCGGGAGAAAAGGGCACATGAGTAAGTGGTGGGCTCCACTTCCCCACATGAGTCTCGGTGGACCTCCCTGGTGCACTCAGTCCTGCTTCTAGGACACAATCAATGCATCTCTTTTCGTAAAATGGCTTCTTTAAAAGATGTGAAACATATAATACAAAGAAAAATACAAAAATGGCCTGTTAGCAATCGTCAGGGTGTGAAGTACCAGCTTTTTCTAAGCAGAAACACAGAAATCACAATCTGCAAGGGAAAATGGCGGGTCCAGTTTAAGTGCACACATTCAGTTGAAATCAAAGAAAACACAAATGCAGATGAAGGACAGGAAGTTAATGCTCACGTTTTGCCAAGCATGCCCCACTGGCGCTGCCTTTTAAGGCCTGTCTGTAATGCCATACCCAGTGTGTGTGCATCGGTGGGTGCAGAACCTCAGCGTCTGTTAAGGGATGGATGGACCAAAAAGAGCTGGTGTAGCTATAAAAGGCAGTATTATTCAGCCCTGAAAAAGCAGGCAGTCCTATTGTTTGCTACAACATGAATGAACCTTGAGAGCATTAAGCCAAGTGAAATGATTCAGAGAGAGACAAACTTTGTATGATCTCACGCATCTATGGAACCTAAAATGTCAAACTCATAGAAACGGAGTAGAATTTGGTGACCAGGGTCTGGGGGCTGGGAGAAGGGGTAGATGTTGGTCAGAGGCTACAAACTCCCAGCTGTAAGGTGGGTTCCGGGAGCCAGCACAGTGGTGTGACTAGTCAGTGGTGCTGCATTACAGACATGAATGTTGCTAAGAGAGTAGATCTTAGATGTTCTCACCACCAACGGGGAATGAAAACGAAGGAGCATTGACCTCAGAGGTCAGCGGCCAACGTGATGCAACATGCAAGTGTATAAATCCACACATTGTAACTCCATCCAGTGAAGCACTCACTCCCCACCCTCCCCACCCTGGCTACCTCCCTCTGCTTCCTGCCCCTGTGGGTGGGACCGCACTAGGTACTCCTGTCAGTGGGACCACACAGGATTTGTCCTTTGTGTCTGCCTTATTTCACTCAACATCATGTTTTCAAGGTTCATCCATGTTGGTGAATTCTTAATGTTATTGTTTCTTTTCCATTCGATCCACCTCTTAGCATTGACATTATTTTTTAAACCCAAGCTTCCTCGATCCTCCTCCTGGTCTGTGGTCTGCATTGCAGTGCTCACCGCCCTTTCCCTGCTTCCCTCTCCCTCTGCAGGAAGCAATTACTCCAGCTCATGGTAGAGAAGAAATATCTGCTGAGTGTGGATGAAGACCTGTTCCAGTCCTGGTTCAGTCTGCTGCCTCTGAGCAGCCTGGCTGCCTACCTGCAGGAATTCTCTGACTACCTGACTTGCTTTCCAGCGCGTGTCCTGGACTGTCTGCTGGGGACCTACTACCGGCTTCAAGAACTTAAAGATGTCAACAAAAACCTGGAGGTCCGTCGCCTGCAGCAGGCCCTGGAGGGCTCGCTTGGCACAAGTACCCCAGCAAGTTAGCGTGCAGAGCCCTGCTTCCTCTTCCCGGGGAAACCGGGCGGGTGACACACTTAGAAACAGTGCACTGCACCTGGCAGTGTGGCTCAGTGGTTGAGCGTCGACCTATGAACTAGGAGGTCAGGGTTCAATTCCGGTCAGGGTACATGTCCTGCTTGTGGGCTCGATCCCCAGTGTGGGCTGTGCAGGAGACAGCCGATCCATGATTCTCTCTCATCACTGATGTCTCTATATCGCTCTCCCGCTCCCTTCCTCTCTCTGAAATTAATCAACAAATAAATAAAAATAAAGAAATTTTTAAAAAGGAAGAAACTGTACTGGGAGGCTCCCTGTTTATTCTGTTTCAGTAAAACTCTAGCCTTCCCTTGTTTATGTCTGTGTGAGGCAGGGTAAGTCACCCCCGAGCATCAGGACACGACAGTTACCATCTTCCTCTCCCATTTTGGGGCTGAAAACAATGGCATAACTCTAAATCCCGAATTTATTTCCGAAAGATCAAGTTTAGTATTTGAGCACCTTAAAACACGTTTGTAGAAAGAAAATAATTTATTGCTTGGTTTCATTCATACTGGGTTTTTTCAGGTCTGTTTTAGCAAAGACTGTGGTGCCGTGATTAAGTCTCTCCTGTCTTTCTTTTCTTCACCACCCTAGGACATTGACAAAACTTTAAAAATGCTGCTGCACCTGCTCGTTACCTTTCAGGACAAGTAAGTAGCAAAGCAAAAGGCTGTCCTGGGGCTGTGGTGGCCCCCCACCCCGGGTGGCAGTGTCCCAGAGCTGCTGCCATGGTCGGAAGGCCATAAACCATGCATAGCCCCCTTCCTCCTGTGATTTATTAATGCGATAATCGTGTTTTTTAAGGGACAATAATAGCTATGAACTGGTGACATTTTAGTCTGGTTTTCTATGCATCTCCCACTTGTTTCTCAATGGTCGTCGTCGTGCTGCACACCCAAGCCTGTGCCCTGTGCTCCATCAGCATCTAGACTTCACATGTCAACCTTAGCACAGCTCCATGCAATCATCCGAAATCATTGGCTCCTGGCCTCTGACCCTGGAGGGGCAGTGCACAGGACACCATAGAAATGTTCACAGGGCAGGACGGGCGATCACTAAGAGTCTGCAGCACCTCCCCTCTCCCTCACCTGAGTTCTCAGGTGTTCAGGTCAGAGGTGGGGCTCTCAGGAACCTGTGACTCAGAGGCCTTAGCCAGCTTTGCGCAGTACAGCATCCCCCGGCCATTCACTGCTGTGGCCCTGTCTGAGCCCACTTGGATCAACTCAGCAACTGTCAGTAGACACAAAACCTGGTTTCCATCTGGAGGAGGCTACACAGCACACCGCCTTCTAGCTTCTCTTCCTTTTGCCCTCCCTCCCTGTATCTTTCAGAATCGTTTTCAAATTGACATAATAGTTCAATCTTTAAAATGCACATTCCTAGCCTTTTCTCAAGTAAGGGGATACCCTTGGAATAGTTTAACTCATCTTTGTTAAAACACTTCAGACCAGGGAGGTGTCCCTGGTTTGCTTTAAATCCTATCTAATAATAGACAAACATGGTAATTGACCATACCTTTGCTACACCTCCCATTGGCTAATCAGTGCACTATGCAAATTAACCGCCAACAAAGATGGCGGCTAATTTGCAATCTGCAGGCAGGGTGGGACAGCGCCAGCTGCCAGCGCACCACCATCCAGGGCAGGCCGGCCCCAGAAGCCCCAGAAGCTGCCTGATATGGTAGTAGCTCTATCAGTAAGCACTCTGAAAGTCAGTGGCATAAATGCACCAATTAAAAGACAGATTATGAGGGTGAATCAAAAACAAAACCCACTTTAAATATAAAGACACAGAGAGAGATTAAAAGTAAATGAACTAAGCTGCAGCCTGTTTTGCTCAGTGGATAGAGCATTAGCCCGTGGACTGAAGGGTCCCAGGTTTGATTCCACTCAAGGGCATGTACCTCAGTTGCTGGCTTGATCCCCAGTCCCTATCAGAGCATGTGCAGGAGGCAACCAATCAATGTGTCTCTCCCTTTCCCTTCACTCTCTCTAAAATTCAATGGAAAAATATCCCTGGGTGAAGATTAACAAAAACAAAGTAAATAGATTAAGTAACATTAAAGAGATTATAAGAAAAACATATTCCAAATTTTGTTAGTTGTATAATGGTTATGTTTAAATTATTAACACCTAAGAAATTGGGTGAAGGGTACATATGATATGCGTAGTATTTTATAGGGTTTTTTTTACATGTATGAGATTATTTCAAATTAAAATATTAAAAAATTAAAAATTAATAAAACATTAATTGAAATGTATCTGCATTACATGAAAAATCTCCTAGTTGCTTCTAGCATAATTTATTAAATTGTGCTAAAATTTACAAGGGTTCAATTCAAAAATATCTTAATTCTAAATGATATAATAGAAAATATATAATAGTGCAGTTATAAGCACTTATTTGAAAATAAAAGTTTGAAGAAGTGAATTTAAAGAAGGGATTAGCCAAAGAAAATATATGCACAACCCATGGACACAGACAACAGTATGGTGATGGCCAGAGAGAAGTGGGGGGCAAGAGCTGGGTAGAGGGGCCAAAAGGGGGGAAATAGGGACATCCTATATAATAATAATAAAAGGCTAATATGCACATTGAATGGCAGAATAACTGGTTGCTATGATGCGCACTGGCCACCAGGGGGCAGATGCTCAATGCAGGAGCTGCCCCCTGGTGGTCAGTGCACTTCCATATGGGGAGTGCCACTCAGCCAGATGCTGGCTCATGGCTGGCCAGCACAGAGGTGGTGGCAGGAGCCTCTCCCACCTCCGTGGCAGCACTAAGAATGTCCAACTAATGGTTTAGGCCAGATCCCTTGGGGACCTAAGCCTTTAGTCGGACATCCCCAGAGGGCTCCCTGACTGCCAGAAGGATGTCTGACTGCAAGCTTAGGCCTGATCCCCCGGGGAGTGGACCTAAGTTGACAGGTGGACATCCCCCAAGGGGTTCTGGACTGCAAATGGGCGCAGGCCAGGCTGAGGGACGCCCCCCCCCCTCCCGAGTGCACAAATTTTTGTGCACCGGGCCTCTCATTTATGTTCATATATATATTTCAGAGAGGGAGAGAGTGATAGAAACATCAATGATGAGAGAGAACTACTGATTGGCTGCCTCCTGCATGCCCTCCACTAGGGATCAAGCCCGCAACGTGGGCACGTGCCCCAACCAGGAATCGGGCTGTGACCTCCAGGTTCAGAAGTGGACATTCAACCACTGACCCACATTGGCCAGGTTGTTTGCTTTTTATCTTGGTTGCAAGTTTGAGATGGATTGAAATTTCCCCGATGTTATGCTACATAGGGATCCAATGGATGCCTTGCTGCTGGTATTTAACGGGAAGGAGTGCGCCCTGGATGACGGTGATGTTTCCCGTTCCCTGGGTCCCTCCAGTGATTTCTCTTTGCTCACTGCGGTGCAGGGTTCTCCAGGAGCCCTTGGTGCCGTCCTACCTGACCGTGTGCCTGAAGCTGCACGAGGCCGTCTGCGAATTCACCAAAGGCCAGATGACTCACGAGCTGCCCCCCTTATCTGCGGAGATCGTCTGTATCATCATCAGGCTGAAACCTATAGTGGTGAGTGGGCTCCAGGTTGTGTCACGCCCAGGACAGCAACAGAGTTTCCAGTGACCTCGTTCACAAAGGAGCTGGGCCAAGTGTGGGATCGCAGGATGGCACAAAGCGGCTGCTCCCCTCATCCGTCATCCAACATGCCCTGGCCGGCTCACCGCAAAGAGGATGCTGTGTGACCTCATGTGCACCTTGGCCTTTGGGTCTTAGGCTGGAAGGAGGGGAGTTACAGTGAGGGTGGTTGGGTGACTGGGCAATTACAGAGCAGAGCAGGTGGCAGGCGACAGGTGACACCCCCCCCCCCAACGCATGTCCATGGATGGTCTTCCCCACTGAGCTTTTCCCTACACTTTAATGGTAGCAGAGGACGGGCCAGGACAATTCTCTCTCTCCCCCACTCCCTACCTCCCCTTTGCTAACAGGACTCCGAGGAAGAGCCGGGAAGTGACACTGGGATGAGGATCTCAGTGAGGAGCGTGGCCCAGGGAGTCCTCGCTGCCACGAGAGCGTGGTTTCGGAGAACCTTCAAGCAGCGCATCTTCTGCAATTCAAATGACTCTTCTGTCAGGTTCACCTACAGCGATGAGATCCAGGTGAGCTGGCGACCATGCACAGCCCATGAAAGGTGTCTGCATAGGGATGCAACACCGCAGGCTGTATCCTGAGCACCAGGACCTCAGCGGGGTGCCCCATCCTGTGCCTGGGCCTCAGGCCTCGGGTCCCTGCCCTCCCCAGTGGGATCTGCAAGGCCAGGCGCTGGTCACATGCCTACCGGGAGCCCAGGCAGCAGGCAGACCTTGCCAGGGAGGTGCTCTGTGGGGGGCATTCGGGGTCTGATTTAGTACTAAGGTTATAATGAAGTTTGTGATGCTGGACTTGGAAAGAACAGATGAAAGCAGGAACTACCAGTACTTGAAAGGGAAGCTGGGCAGAAAGGCATCTGAATGTGAGAAAGAGAGACATGAGCCCCAAAAAAGGTGGATGGTGGGAGGTAGGAGGTGGGAGGTGGGAGCGTTTTGAAGATGACCGGTGTGGAACAGAACTGTGCGCTGTGGAGGAGGGCAAGGGACGGGGTGGCCACTGGATTGGGTCTAAGCTTGCAGTAACACCTTAAGCACATGTGGACAGGGCTCCGCCAGGGCTGGGCAGGACACTATCTGGGAAGCTTTATTCACTCCCATTTTTGTTTTTGTTTTTTTATTTTATTTTTTAACATATATTTTTATTGATGTCAGAGAGGAAGGGAGAAGGAGAGAGAGACAAAAACATCAATGATGAGAGAGAATCATTGACCAGCTGCCTCCTGCACGCCCCACACTGGGGATCGAGCCTGCAACCCAGGCATGTGCCCTGACCTGGAACAAAACCATGATCTCCTGGGTCATAGGTTGACGCTCAACAGCCAGGCCCATTTTTGGTTTTTAACGTGTCTGTTTTCTCCTTGTGTCCTTGTAGTTATCAAGGTGATCGGGGTGTCCGAGTGGCCAAGGGGTCCACCTGAATGACCTCTGCCCTCGATGGGAGGGTTCTGTAGGGCTCATCCCTGTGGAATGGGGCACCTCCGGCTCCATGGACTCTATAAAGCAAAGCCTGCTTCCCTCGTTCCCACGAAAATCAGAGCTTTCCAGAACTGTACACGTTGTTCAAGAAAGAAAGGGCCGCAAGGGCATTGCTGGAAAAGAGATGTGGTCACCAAACGTACTGCATGTTCCGTGTTGTATCTGGACGCAGAGAGCCAGGACATATGTGAGCGATGGGAGGGATGTGGACAGGGACCCGCCTAGAGAAGTGTCAGACCCACGGCACTGACCTGAGCGTGACTCATACTGTGTTGTGTGCCGTGTGGGCCACGTGATTGGAGACGCCTGCCCAAGTACTTAGGGGCCAAGTGGCACTGCCTTGGTGGCTCACCTCCCAGGGGCCAGGCAGAGAAAATGCCTGAAGCAAGAGAGAGAGCATGTTTGAGGTGAACATTGGGAATCTGATGGAGGTAAATGGCAGCGTCACAAGTTTGACATTTTTCAAAATAAAACATTGGAGGAAAATAATTTCTGAATAACAACCAGTTTCACAATGAAGGAAAAGAGTGGTTCCCTATGCAGTCGGGGTCCTTCGTGTTCTCGGGCTGAGGTGGACGCCCTGACCCCACCGACAGCTCCAGTAACCGTGGCCAGGTCCCACACAAGGTGGCCTCGCAGTGCAGAGCCCTCTGTGTCACCACAGTCGTCGTTGGAAGGCTTACATTGTGGCATTTCCTGTCACGGGGCTGTCCCTCACTTGTGGCCTTGCAGGTGTGGCGGCGGCTGGTGGAGATCCACTTCCCCGAGGAACACGGCTGGAAGGAGTCCTTGCTGGGGGACCTGGAAGGAAGGCTCAAGCAGGTAGCGGGGTTGGGGCCGTACTTCTTGGGGGTGAAGGCAGGTTGAGAGAACCAGACATTGGTGACCACCATGAGGGGAAGGTTGTTCAAATGGGTGGACTGCCCTCCGGTGCCCAGGGGTGGGCAAATATGGCTTCATTGCTGCTCCTGGTGCAGCCTTTGCTGTGGGGCCCTGGATGGAATTCCAGAGAACAATGGGGAACAGGGGTTGCACCAGGGGAACCCCATGCATGCGGGGCCTCCAAGTGGCCCATGGTGACAGGAGCCTGTTAAACCCGGCGACCAGTGGGGAGAACACAGACTTCAGGCCCATAACCCTCGAAAGATTGGGGTTGATTTTGTTGTTGTTTATCCTCATCCAAGGGTATTTTCCCATTGATTTTCAAAGAGAATGGAAGGGAGGGGGAGAGACAGAGAGAAAGATCGGTGTGAGAGAGATACATCCATTGGCTGCCTCTTCCCACACCCCAATGGGACTGGGGATCGAACCTGCAACTGAGATGCATTCTCTTGACCCGAATCGAACCCGTAGCTCTTCAGTCAACGGGCCGATGCTTTATCCAAACCGGCCAGGACCGGGGCTGATTTTTTTAAATGTGACGTGGGAACTTTATATATAACGTTCAATGGATCTTTGCAGGAAAACACAAACAAGAAAAAATCATGTTACTTTTCAAAACTCACCTCTTTTTGCAAACTTCAGTGCAGGCACCTTCTCTGCAGAATGAATGGTCTTGTTGTTGGTCTGATCTTTGGGGGCAGTGAGGATGTGCTTAACGTGGAGTGGGAAGAAGGTTCCAACAATGGGGAATGGTAAGAGGGTGGGAAAGTGAAAACACTAGGCCCCTGTGTCCCCTGGAGCTCAGCGTGCTGCCCCCAGCTCTGCCCCTTTCGCCCCTGCAGGAGAGGCCGCTCTCCCAGATCTCCGCCTACTGCAGCACTGGCTGGGCAACTGCGGGCGCCGACGATAGCGTGTCCAAGTGCTTCGAGAAATGTGCCATTGAAGCTGTAGGCTTGGCCTGCCAGGTGAGCAAGCTAGCCCACCAGGGATGCTTTCAGGGTCACAGCTGCCTTCCAATGTTGTCAGGCAGGTCTGGTAAATGCCCATGAGCTCTGAGATGGGCTTCAACCCCATGCAAAGGCACAGGCATCCCCTCCTGGCTGGCAGGACTGGTTCTGGAGTCTGGGACCCTTGACCAGCTCCTGGAAATGCCACTCAGCTTCCCGAAGTGGCGCAGCTGTGACGTGCGGTCAATCACAGCCACTCACGTGGGACCGAGTCCGGTGGTGTCCCCAGCCACTAGCGAAGGTCCCTGTGAAGTCCCCGCTCCTGGTGTGCATTGCCTCCAACACTGCACCTGTGCAGTGAGAGATGCCAAAGGTTGACAAAACGTTTATGGATAAGTGTCTGTTCCTATCCATTCACTTGGGAATTTTTTTCCTGCAAAGTAGGGAGATATTCTTCCCTACAACGCCTCTCAGGCACAGCCTCCTTCTTTGTATGAATGTGGGTGTGGGTGTGTGTGTGTGTAGGTGTGTGTGCATGTAGGCCTGTGTGCATGCATGTGTGCTCTTTAGCGCTTTCTGTAAGATCATGTCATCTGTGAACAGAGAGAGTTTTTCTTCCTCCTTCCTGATCTGGGTGCCTTTTATGCCTGTTTCTGCCTGACCACCATGAGCAGAGCTCCCAGCACCAAGTTGAGTAGAAGTGGAGAGAGGGGCCACCCTTGTCTTGCTTCTCTCTCCACTGAGCGTGGAGTTAGCTGGGGGTTCCATAGATGATAGGTGCCCTTTACCAGGTGAGGAGTGCCTTCTGTTTCTAGTTCAGTATTTTTATCATGAAAGGGTGCTGGATTCTGTCAAATACTTTTCTTAGTCTATTGAGATGATCAGGTAATTTTTTTCTATTGATTCGATGTATTACATTCAATTGTTTTTTTAGGTTCAACCAACCTTTCATCCCTGGGATAAATCCCTCCTGGTCTCAGTATTTAATCCTTTTTATATGTTGTTGGATACAGCTTTCTTTTATCCTTTTATTTATTTACGTAGTTAATCCTCACCTGGGAATATTTTTTCCATTGATTTTTAGAGGGAATGGAAGGGAGGGAGGAGGAGAAGGAGGAAGAGGGGAGAGAGAGAGAGAGAGAGAGAGAGAGAGAGAGAGAGAGAGAGAGAGAGAGAAAGGAAAGAGACATCGATGTGAGAAAGATACATTGATTGGTTGCCTCTCGAATGCACCTCAACTGGGGCTGGGGTTGGAACCTACAGCCAGGTATGTGCCCTTGACTGGGACTCAAACACAAGACCCTTTGTTGCCCAGGCTGACACTTTTGGTAAAAATTTTAAACTTAAAGAAGGAAAACATTTTGTGTCTTGGGGAAGCAGAGAAGAGTCCTACAATATACTAGTATGTGCTGTACGCAGGCAGCCTTACAAAAGACAGTTTAGGAATACAAAGTATTTGATGGACTGATGACTTACTGATGCTATGTTTGCTGTTTTTCATGACATGAAAGTGCAGGAAAAATGCAGACACTGGTGGTGAGCCAGAGGGAGGGGTGTGATGTGTGGGGCGTGTCTGTGAGTCCACACTGCCACGTTTCTAGGGGGTTGCTGCTCAAGGAGACAATTCACAGCGAAGCAAAATGCCCTAATAAAAGTGAAGTATTATACTCTTTTGTGGGTTTTTTTGAAGCTTTGTAAAACTAGTCACAAAAGATTTCTGAAATTGGGTAATTTACTTCTGTTACTTAACACATTTCGTCTGCTCAGGAGCTTTCTCGTGTTTCGCGCGCCGTCTGTTAAGGACAGCTCATGTGTGTTCTTGTTTTTCACGCCCATGGAAAAAGAAGCGAATCTAGATACTTATGTAAATTTTGTTTGGTCCCTCTTCATAGAGGAAAATGTTTTACGCAGTACCATACGTTAAAAAAATACTAGGAACTTTAATTGTTTAATTGTTTTTGTGAATAAAAATGTTATCATTATTGAAAAACAACACCTAAAGTGCATTATGATGATTTAGATAACATGCAGTTTGCCCAAAAACGTGCAGTCCCTGGCGTATGTCTTAGAGGTTTCTATGCGGTATGCAATGTGCTAAAAACAAAACAAAAATATAACCCCAAAAGACGCCTTCCTGAATTCCCTTCTCTGTTCTCATTTTCTTTAGTCACAGGCCAGCATTCTGGAGGGACTCTCTCAGAGCAACCTTCAGAGATTCGGGATCCTCGCGTCCGCTGTGGTCACCAAGTCCTGGCCCAGGTGCAACGGGGAGGCCGTGGACGACTTGGCTGAGGTTCTGAAATACCTACTCACGTGGCCAGATGCCAAGCATCTCTTCAAACTGTACAGTATGTTCTGGGGGGTGTCCACTCACGTCCTTCTGACCTGCAACGGGGCAGGACATTTGACCTGACACCTGATGAGGGCAGCAGATGTCTAGCAAGGAAGCCAATGGGCTAGAGGGGCCCAGCAAGGGCAGGGTGTCTTGGATGTGGATGAGAACCAATCCTAAGGCCACCATCCCTGGCACAGCTGCTGGGCACAGCTGCTGTGTCCTTGAAGCTGTCCTGAGGGTCCTCCTGAAGGTCCCCGTGTGTTTTTGTTGTTAATTTTCACCAGAGGATATTTTTTCCATTGATTTTTAGGGAGACTAGAAGGGAGGAAAGAGGGGTAGAGAGAGAGAAACATCGACATGAGGTGAAATATTGATTGGCTGTCTCCTGCACTCCCCCTACTGGGGATCAAGCCCCAAACCCAGGCGAGTGCCTTGAACTAGCAACCTTTCTGTATGTGGGACAATGCCCAACCACACCGGCCAGGGTGTGCACGTTTTTGTGTGTGTTTTTTAATCATCGACTAATAGTCCATTGTTTGGATGGATCAGTATGTCCATTCACCTACTGAAGGACATCTTGGGTGCTTCCTAGGTTTTGCAATTACTAATAAAATTGCCGTATTGATTTTTAGTGGCATAGATAAACTTGGTGTCCTCATAATACTGTACAACCCAGCTATTACTTGGAGAGAAATCTCCTGGTGGTTAAGCTAAGTATATTTTAAAATTCTGCCCTCTAAATTGATCCTGAAATTCACATTCAAAATTTTCAAGATAGCCAGGATAAGCAGAGCAGGACCTAGTTGGTGCACCTGTGTCCATGGGCCATGAAAGCGCCTCTGTGATGCCACCTTGCTGGGGTGAATTCTTCTGTCATGGGAATTCTGGAAATGGGGGGTTTGAGAGGAAAGTCTGTGTGGGTCCAGAATACTGAAGGGCGCACGGATTTTAGAAACCTGAGAAACGTGGTTATCTCAGCTGACTGTGCAGTTGGAGGAATTGTCTTCGTGATTGAGGAAGTGCGTGAGGCCTCTGCACGTGTTGCCTGGCATTGGGCCGTGCAGCAAGGAGAGCCCAGGAGGCCTCAGCTTGCAGCGGGAGCCATGCGGGAAACAGGCAGGCTCTGACTTTAAACTGTTAAAACCTGAGCAGGAACCAACGAGAAAATACTAGCGCACATCACGGAGGATGGCAAGAAGCTGATGGCCACGGCAGACTCGGTCCTCACCAAGGTGGCCGAGGCCCTCCTCAGCCGCACGGTGTTGGTGGAACAGCTGCAGCTGATCAGGAATCACATGACTCAGTTTCTTGACATCTGGGAGCTCAGTGAGTATGGCGCTGACACGGGACACCTGGCTGCTGAGGAACCTGGACGGGGAATGTCTATGCTCACAGGGTTCCTTAGAAGGGTGATCTTTGTCCTTGGTATGATGAAGGGCTCTTCTTGCCACTAAATTGACAGGACAGATTCTTTTTTTTTTCTGGAAAAAAAAGAAAAGATGGATGAATTTATTTATTATTTTTGAAACAATCACAACATTCTAAAATAATGGGAACTATATTGAAAGAACTGTTCAAAAAGCCCTACACCATTTGAGAGTAGGTTGCCCAATGAATACCCATCATTCCCAAACTTCAGTGTGTATTTCCTCTAGGTCAGAACTTCCCCCACGTGACTACAGTGTAACCACTAAAGTCAGAAAATTGCCGAAACAGGTTTGGCTCAGTGGATAGAGCGTCGGCCTGCGGACTGAAAGGTCCCAGGTTTGATTCCGGTCAAGGGCATGTACCTGGGTTGCGGGCACATCCCCAGTGGGAGATGTGCAGGAGGCAGCTGATCGATGTTTCTCTCTCATCGATGTTTCTAACTCTCTATCTCTCTCCCTTCCTCTCTGTAAAAAAATCAATAAAATATATATTTAAAAAAAAAAAAAAGTCAGAAAATTAACCTTAACAGGTGACTCCCTGGAATGTCCATACTCCATCTAGGTTTTGTCAGTTGTTTCAGTACTATTATGGAGAGCAGCCGGATTCCAGATGGAATCAGATGTTGCATTTCGTGTCACATGGTGTCTAATCCTCAAAAAAAAGAACAGAGAAGTGATGACCAAGTCTGAGTGCTCAAGGCCCATCCCATGCTGCTAAGGGCGGGCACCTGGATGGAGGGGCTGGGCTCGCAGCCCCCTCCCTCCTCCCATCCCCACATCCTGAGTGTGCATCACATTCAAAAGAAGAGGGAAGAAATGGTTCCCACAGAAAAGAATATGCTCCTTTGTTCTATTGGGTAACTTTTTTTTCCCAGAGAGAAAAAGTCTTTCACCCCAGGAGGAAATATACGATATGAAGAACGTGCTGGACTCCAGATGGAAAGAACTACAATTTCTACAGAAAGAGCAGAGCCGGGTGGACAGTCTTCTGAAGCTGTGCGAGAGGGTGAAACACTGGGTGAAAGGTGACTCGCATCAGAATTTTAATGAACCAAACTTCAGGGTCAGAGGAGAATCCAATAGAAACATGTCTCCACAGCGGTCTTTCTCTCAGCGGGCAGGTTGCTGGTAAAGCGTCCATTTTAAACAAAGTTGGACCTGTCACCTTGTCCCTCTCAATAACGCGCTTAAATTGCTCCTGGATTTTCCGGGTTTACGTGTTATCCATGGTGGACGATTAGGGCTCTTAGTTTCTCCAGTCTCTACCCTACACACACCACCTTTCCTATTCCCTTTACTCACTCTTCATTCGCTCACTGCTCAGGGCCTGAATGGTCACCACTGTGTAAATGTGCTTTGACCGCCGAGCCCCGAAGGAGACCGCGATCACCTTACCTTCACGCACAAGCTTGGTTTCCTCTAGATTGAAAATTCGTGTCTCCTCCTGTGCTTTGTTTTTGTTAGAGGCACCTCTGATGGACACTGGAGAGGTGTTCCTGGACAGGACAGCCCCTGAGCCAGTGGGAGAGGATGTCCCCAGCCTGGACCCTTGTCTTCCATATAAATGAATTTATACGAGAGACCTTGACTGTGTTATGAGACCCGATTTATTAAAGCAATTAAAGCATGCACCTTTATTGAAAAAGCAAAGCAAGTAAACGTATACATCTGGCTCATAAAGCGCAGACGGGTTCTCAGCTAATCTGAAGAGCAGGTTGGGTAGGGGTCTGAGGTGCTATATACCCTCCTACCTGTAGGTTACAGAATTCCTCTGCTGAATATTTGGTGCAGATTAATTCTCAAGGCCCTTGTTTACTTTGCTGTGGCCTTCCCAGAATTCATGAGAAGCACCTGGCAATTTTATCCTGCCACGCCTTGAGGATGCTGGCTTCTCTGCTTAGGGAGTGAAAGAAATACAACTGCCTTTTTTCCCTTTCCCCTCCCCTCCCTCTCTGCAGTCTCTCATGAGGGAGGTTTTTAACCATTTGCTATGTCCTTGGCTGGGGAAGATAGCGGCTTGTTAGTGACAAGCTGGCTGCAGATTGCCCCACTGTTTGGCCTTGTTTTAACTTTCCTGTCTCAGTTTCCCTATTCCTCCTGCCCTGGAATCCTGTAACATTTCCAGTGTTTTTTCTTTCTAATTCAATTCCATACTCTTCGTTGTAACTTCCTTGAAATATGATCAGTCTGATCTTTTCGGAGCTTCCCCTCACGGGACAGGGAGCCCTAGAGTCTTCCTGCACCGTCCTGGGTTGTTCTTTGCCTCACTCCTCATTTGGGTCTGTTTCTGGGATCCTGGACTCCCGCTCTCACTCCTGGGTTTTACTTGAACATTATCTTCCATTACATCCCTGTGAAATAGGGATGAAATAGGTGAAAAGGGTCCATTCTTGCGTCCTTGTGAGTCTGCGAATGTCTGCCCTCACACTAGGGTGGTCGTGGACTTGGTCGGAACTACAGACAGGAAGTCCTTTTCCTTCCAGATGCTGCACATGTGGCACCGTGGTCTCTGCGGCGTGGCCATTGAGAAATCGAGAGCAGTGCTAACGGCCGCTCCTTTGTGGGGACATTTTCTCTCTGGAGGCCCTTCGATCTCTTTGTCCCCAGGGCTCTGAAATGTGGGCCTCTGTATGGGTGCATCTTCTCTCCAAGCATTGGGCATAATTTGGTGGTCTTTCAATTCTTGACATCCAAGCCCTTGAGATCTGGAACATTCTCTTAAACTTTTCCTTGAGCGTTTCCTCTCTTGCCAGGATTGACATGAATTGGATACTGGGCCTCCTGGACGCCCTTTTTCTGTGCCCTCCTGTGCTTGTTCGTGGCTACAGTATCTTATCTTCCTGAGGTTATTGATATTTAGGGTTTAGGGGTTTTTCTATTTTGCATATAGTTTTTCCTTTCCTCTGAGTCCCTTTTATGTGTTGCTGTGTTTTCGTACCTACCACCCACGTGAAAGGCTCTCCCCATATGTCTGGACATTCTTGGTTTCCTTGTGAAGTAAGTGAGGAGCCTGGTAAGCGGACAGAGAACTGGCAGCAGGAAGGGCCTTGGATGTGCTGTGCCTTGGAGTCTTCTCTGTGGGGTGCTTGCATCTCCCGTCCTCACATGGGGGGTGGGGGGAGAGAGGCTGGGCATGGCTCTGGGAGTTGAGAGAGGAGTGGGCTGCAGGGCTTCCAGCGCCGGGTCGGCCCCCTTTCCCTTTGGTGCTCCCACCTGCCTTCTGCTGCCCCTGTGTCTTCTGTCCCCTCTTTCTTACTCCTGAAGTTCAGTGCCATGCGTGTCTGGAAATGCCATTATTCCCCACGGACCTGAGACCTCCAGGTCCACAACCCTCCGTGCCGCCGCGGGAATGGGACCTCCCGCTGCTACTAGACCAGTGGAGGGAGAGGAGGAGGGAAAGAAGAAGGAATGGGGTGAAAAGCAGCCTGTCCCTTCCTGGTCTCATCAGCATCCCCACAGTCCAGCTCCCTGAGCAGGAACCTGCTGGGCTCCCAGTGTCCCCATGGCAAGCTGCGGTTCCACATTCTAGTAGGCCTTGGGCCCCACTTCCCATGGGCCCATCCACTGTCACATCTTACAGGTTGTGGCTCTCTGTTCTTCCTGCCCAGGTGGTGTGTGACTTTTTACAGAACTCTCTCTGTTCTGGCATCGAAGAGGGGTGTGGGGAGCGGGTGAAGAGGGTGCCTTTCTTCACCCAGAACTTATAAGGCTTTGTTGTGAAAATTGAAGGCGGGAGGAGCGCGTGTCTGGATTCTTATTGAGAGAAAAAGTGCCAGTGAGGGCGATTCCTCGAGTTTCCTCAGGAGCAGCGAGGGGGAGGAGAGAGTCCTGTTGGACTGGTGGGCTCACGGGTGACGTCCTCTTATGGTTTTGCAGTGGACTGCAGAAAGATTGCCAAGAAACACGCAGAAGACCTGGGCAGGAAATGCCTAAATGAGGCCGTGATGGCGAGTCCATCCCCCACCTCCTTAGACATGGAGTGGGTAACGCACTACAACCTGAGCGCCCACGTTCAAGAAATGGCCACAACAATAGACTTGCTCAAGGACAGTCACATCTTCCGGACCTTCTGGGCAGAGGCCGCCCGGGCGCTCCTTCCGCCAGAGGAGGAGGAGGCACGGGGAGGGCCGCTTGTGGACATTGAAGATGTGTATGATGACCTGTACCTTCCTTGCTTCAACAAGTTCAGGAAACTGTATGAGGACCTGAAGTCGGGCGAGCTCACCTTCGGGGAAGTGCACACCATCTTCGGCGTCTTTGTGAATAAATATGACGAACTCACCTTTGACCTCAGAGTCATGTGTGCCCTGGACCCCAGCGACCCAAGCGATTGGATCCAGGAGCGAATGGGGCAGGTCAGGGAATACCACCACCTGCATCTGTCTGCCAAGGCAGCCAAGGTCATCTTGGAGGTCAAAGAGACCTTGGGCCTGACCGGGGACTTCAGTCTTCTCCACTTTGTACTAAGAATCGTAAGTTATTTGCCAGGGACCCTTGGGGTTCAGGTGGGGTCCCAGCTCAGACTCCTGGCAGCCCTGGGCTCTCTGGCTTTTAAAGCCTGGACGAGAGTTTCCTGTTTGCATTTCACTGGGTGCTGAATGTGCAGGGACCTGGTTTCCCCTCGGCTTATACATAGTGTGACTGCTCCCTGACACGAGCATCAAGGACACAGGACAGGGCTGTGTGGCCCTCTCAGATGTTGGATGTTTGTAGAGAGCCAAGGCCTGGCTCCGTGGCTGCCCCCTCCTGTCTGTGGGAGCCGCCCAAAGAGTGACTTCTGTGAACATCAGTAAGAAGGGGGTCTTTCGGTTTCTGCTCTTTGAGGACGAGAGTCTAGGAGGCAGACTGGGACCTGTACAGCAGCAGAGAAGGGTGTGAAGAGGATGAAAACTCAGCACACGATTTGGAATCACACCTGCATAGGCGTGAGCTGTAGCAGTGGGCTCTGGAGTAGGTCCCGGGTCTGGGCCCTCACTTTTCCACCTACAACGCAGGAAAATAATACATGCCAGGTGGTTCTTATGGAAGCTGCTTAGCAGAATGTCTCCAGAGACCAGGGGTGGTTATTACTGATCAGGGGAGGGGGATACAGCATCCAGTTCTGGAATGAGGGCCCCGTGTGCCCGTCCACATCGTAGCAGCCACAAACCCAGGAGATTCAGGCTGTTGGGACGGTCTGTGTTCCTGCTCAGACCCAGGGCTCCAGGTGACCAGCTTCAGCCCACAGCAGAGCCTTGTCTTACAGACCGAAGCTTCTGAGAACTCTTGCCATGAAAAACTGGGCCAGATCGACAGGCAGGTCATCAGTACCAACAAGCTGCTGCGGGACATGAACGAGGCCCGGTGCCAGTGTCTGCTGGAGCTGGCCCTGGCCAGGGAGTTCGTCCACTGGGTCCGGGAGGCTGTCAAAGGTATGGTCGTCACTGGGGCTTGCAGGAGCCTGGGTGTCCCAATGGCGCATGGGTGACTGTTCTAAGTTGATGGGCTGGGGAAAGGACAGAGGGTGCCATCTGCATTCCTTAGGATGTGTGCTCTGTGTGTTTTCTGGTGGAATTTATATCAGGAGAGTATTTCTCATGCTCTGTTGTAAAAGCTGTGTCCTTGGCTAGTGCTCCCTCACTCTGTAGGTTTGCTCTGGACAGCTGGAGGTCATTTTCTTTCTTTCTTTTAAATATTTTTATTGATTTCAGAGAGGAAGATAGAGGGAGGCAGAGAGAAATAGGAACATCAGTGATGAGAGAGAATCATTGATCAGCTGCCTCCTGTTCGCCCCACACTGGGGACCAAACCCACAACCTGGGCATGTGCCCAGGGAATCAAACCATGAACTCCTGATTCATGGATCCATGCTCAACCACTGAGCCACACCAGCTGGGCAAGGGGGATCATTTTCTTAAAAACCTTGCTCCTGCCCTGGCTGGTGCGGCTCAATAGGTTGGAGCATCATCCCGTGCACCAAAAGATTGTAGGTTCAATTCCTGGTCAGGGCACAAACATAGGTTGTGGGTTCAATCCCCTTTTAGGGCATGTATGGGAGGCAACCAATTGATGTTTCTCTCTCACATCCATGTTTCTCTCTCTTTCCCTTCCTTTCTCTGTAGAATCGATTATAAAAGCATATCCTCAGGAGAGAATTAATTTTTTTAAAGGGTGGTGACATTGCATGGATAAATGGAGTCAGGCACACAGCCTCGTGTGGTGTCTGTACCCCACTGTTAGTGAGTTCAGGCACTGGTCAGTGGTATTCCAATTAGAAGCAAGAGAAAAGGTGCTTGGAATCTTATTGAAAGCAGATCAATCCCTAAAAATACACTGGATGTCCATGTATAGCTCCTCGAAAGACTATTGTCCATGGTGTGAACCTCGTGTCCGATGGAGTGGCCCCACCCTCACCTGTCCCCTCTCGCTTCAAGGCATCAACGAGCTGAAGGTGTTTGTGGACCTGGCGTTCATCTTCGCGGGGGAGAATGACATGGACATGGACCGCGTAGCCTGCTTCCACGACGCCATCCAGGGCTACACCGCTCTGCTCTACAAGCTGGACATGAGCGCAGATTTCCATGCATTCACGGGACACCTGAAGGAGCTGTGGAAGGCTCTGGAAAATGACCCACACCTGCCCAGTAAACTGGTGAGTTTTATTCCTGGCTCATGGCTCAGTGGGACTCTGGGCCATGACTGTGCACATCATCACACATCACGTGTTCAAGACCATGTTTGCAAAGGTTTTTCTTCACATATGGAAATGCTTTCTCTAGCTTGTATGTTATGAAGTAGAATATAAAACTGCATGCAAAACACATGAAAGAAAAATAGACGGAAAGGAAACATGCTCACATGTCACCAGTGTTTTCTCCAAAAATGGTAGTAGTTGTGACTTAATTCTGTATACTTTTTGGTATTTCCCACAATTGGGATTGATGGATGTTTTATCAGAAAAAAATACACATTTCCATTTAAGTCAGGGAGGGGTGGGGAACAGCTGTACCAGGGCCTCGAAATCATTTGTCTGGACCTGCCAAGGCAACCCCAGGTGGGACTCGAAATTCAATAAATCTGAGAACACCAGGCCATGGTGACTCAGTGATTGAGCATTGACCTATGAACCAGAAGATTACGGTTTGATTCCTGGTCTGGGCACATGCCTGGGTTATGGGCTTGATCCCCAGTGGGGTGTATGTGCAGGAGGCAGCTGATCAATGATTCTCTCTCATCATTGATGTTTCTCTCTCTCTCTCTCTCCCCCCTCCCTTCCTCTCTGAAATCAATAAAAATATATTTATTTTTAAAATAATAAATAAATAAATAAATCTGGGAGCTTTTTTCATAGCAATATAAACTTATATTAAGTGAATGATGATATAAATATCCAAATGGCCCTTGGCAGAAAAATGGTTCCCCGCCCCTGATTGAAGGACACCTCTTAGGTGTCCCAGGAAAGGCAACAATACGCAGAGTCTGGGCAGCGCAAGAGGAAGCCCCCCAACTCCACCCCGAGGGCTGACCTGCCCAGAGAAGGCATTTGCCCTTGAGGCGGGAGGGCCGTGCCCACAGGAAGAGAGAAAGAACAGGATGGATCGATGGATGGCTGTTTTCTCTCCTGTCCCAACAGCGAGACTCTGCCAGGGACTTGGGGTGGCTGAAGCAGGTGAAGGAGAGCCATGGCTCAGTAGAGCACTCGTCGCTGTCACTGGCCAGAGCCATCAACACCAGGGGCATCTATGTGATCCAGGTGCCCACTGAGCTCCAGCAGGTGAGCCCCCAACTCCCGGCATGCCCATTTCCCAGACACGCCCACACCCCTGGGTACACCCATTTCCAGGACACGCCCGTTCCTGGGCATGCCCATTTCCTTGACACGCTCATGCCCTGGCATGAGGTGAGGTTCTCCCTCCAGAAAATTACCCCCAAATGTGTCCTGTTCCACAGATCTCCCCAGACACTGCTCTATATCTGCTCCTCCCCGAGAGCAGTGCGGATGGCCAGGAGCAGCGCAGGTGCTCCCTGGAGGAGCTGAAGGAGCTTCTGAATAAGTTGATGCTCATGTCTGGCAAGAAAGACCACAACAGTGCCGAGGCGCAGGTGTTCTCCGAGGTGGGGTCTGCTTCTGGGCAAGCTGTGGGCGCATTAGTCAGGGCTGGGGATGCCCTTCCCAGTGGCCCCGGACAGTTTGGGTTTGATCGCTAGGAATGGCTCTGCTCTGGAACCCGTGGGTCTGCAGGGTGGCTGTCACCCAAACTCAGGGCCTGATGGGGCGTCTCAGGTGTGACAGGCCCTTCGGTTAGCGGTTCCCGCTTAATCTCCGTAGAGACCATTGTCCCTGAATCTGCTGCTCTGAGAGGAGATGACCCAGGCACAGTCCTTAGAAAGAAACTTAAATTGCCTCCCTACTATACCAATCAGCAAAAATCCAAAACTAGGTAAAGATGCAGGTGGGCAGCCTGCACCGGCATCGGAGGTGACCCACCATAGGAAGGAAGCATATTGGAACAGCCTCTCCATTTTGTTAGAAGATTTTTCTTTTAAGATCATTCGTATTTTTTAAAATATATTTTTATTGATGTCAGAGAGGAAAGGAGAGGGAACAGAGATAGAAACATCAATGATGAGAGAGAATCATGGATCAGCTGCCTCCTGCACGCCCCCCACTGGGGATTGAGGCTGCAACCAGGGCATGTTTCCTGACCGGGAATCGAACTGTGACCTCCTGGGTCATACGTCAATGCTCAACCACTGCGCTACACAGGCTGGGCCATTTGCACTGTTTTTACACGATCCCCTCAATCTTGGCAACGCCAGGCCTTCCTGAGGCAGAGGTTCTGTCACAAAGGAAGGCAGGCTCTGTTCTCAACCCCACCCTTCAGGCTCTGAGTCTGCTTCCACCTTCTCTCTGGGGTCAGCCAGTGAGACCCGCCTCCTGCTTCCCTTGGCGACAGGTGTTCTGCAACGTGCAGAGGCTCCTGCAGGCCTTCCTGAACCTGTATTCTGCTGGAAGCTTCCTGTTCCGGGCCTGGAAGGTTGAGGTGCACTGCTGCCCGGGGCTGGCCGAGCCCGTGCAGATGAACTTTGGGCTGCCACTGCTGGAGCCGCTGCGGGGGCACGCGCCCCTGGTCCCTCTGCTGGAGGCGCTGTGCAGGCAGATGGAGCACTTCTTGGACCAGTGGGAGGGGTTTTTGGCGCAGAAGCGAGCAGAGCACTTTCACCTCAACTACTACACAGCGGAGCAGCTGGTGCACCTGAGCACAGAGCTAGCCAGGCAGCCTCCCAGCGCCTGCGCTGCTGTCCTTGCCATGCTGTCCTTCGTCAAACGCCAGTGCACCCTGCAGGATGTCGTGGAGGCCTTCAGGAGCCCAGATGACGATGGCAATGGCGATGGCAGGACTGCCACACAGGAGCTGCCGACAGTGGTGGAGAGATTGCCCATCCTGCTCAGCAATGAGTCCGGCCTGGTGGACAAGCTGGGGGTCATCATGGAGCAGTTCCTGGGGTGCACACGTGCCTTCCTGCCCCACTGCCTGGACCTGGAGGCCCTGGGCCGTGGCCTGGCGCACCTGGCTGCCATGGGCGGGCCCCCGGTGATGCGGGCGCTCCCTGGAGGCCTGCAGGCTGGCCAACCCAACCTCATCGTCTGCAGCCACTCAGACGTGCTGCCGGCTGCCCTGGCCATCTACATGCAGAGCCCGGAGCAGCCGCTGCCCACCTACGACGAGGTGCTGCTGTGCACCCCAGGTACCACCTTCGAGGAGGTGGCGTTGCTGCTTCGCCGCTGCCTGAGCCCAGGCGCCCCCGGCTGCCGCGTGTACAGCCTGCTGTTCGCGGACCAGCTGAGCTACGAGGTGGCCTGCCAGGCGGAGACGCTGCTCCGGGCCCTGTGCACCCGGCCGCACCGGGAGGACTTCCAGCTCGTTCTGGTCTGCGACTGCGAGCGGGAGCACTGCTACCTGCCCTCGGCCTTCAGCCAGCACAGGGTCCCCGCCACCCCCCGGGCACCCCTCGAGGACACCCAGGCCTACCTGGCGCACCACTACCAGGTCCCAGAGGGGACCCCATCGGCCGCCGCCGCCTTCAGGGACCGGATGTGTGTGAGGATCGTGGCCTCGGCGAGAGCGGGTGTCGGTAATGACAGCAGCTGGGGGGGACAGCTCTTCCCTGGCCCACAGGGGTGGGAGGGGGCTCCAAGGAAGCCCTCCCATAAGAAGGAAAACTGAGTCAGGGAGGTGGGGCTCATCTGAAGTTGCAAATTGGAGCCAAACCAGAAGGGACACTCTTCCTGGTTCAGGTGATGCCTGGAGCCACCCACCTTCCTTCTCTGAACAGCCTTCTCCGAAGTCTCATGTTTGCTTGTTTTTTGTTTTCCATTGACTTTCTAGAGAGAGTGGAAGGGAGGGAGGGTGGGAGAGAGAGAGAGAAACAATGATGTGAGAGAGACACATCGCTTGGTTGCCTCCCACCTGTGCCCGAACTGGAGCAGGGGATCAAACCTGCAACCCAGGTACCAGTCCTTGCCTGGGAATCAAACCCATGCCCCTTTGGTGTGCAGGTCTACGCTCCAACCAATGAGCAACACCGGCAGGCTCCTGTTTTGTTTTTAAACTGCATTAGCTGCTTTGGGGTTGATGTGAGTCGTCAGCAGGAGAAGTAAAAAAAAAAAAAAAGGTGCCTCTTGTCTGACCTTTAGTCCCCAGCGCTGGTTCCAACTCAGTGACTTTATCCCATTCACCATCCTGCTTGTCCCCTCCCCTCCCCTGGCACACTCACCTTGCACTACTGGTCCCGAAAGGGTGTGTGTGTGTGTGTGTGTGTGTGTGTGTGTGTGTGTGTGTGTGTGCAGGTAACAGTGAGGAAACTGGAGAGCTCTTTAATCCTGGATTACACTGCATCAGTTTTGAATTGTGCATGAAGAGAAGTGACTTGTACTAAATCTTTCTGGATTCTCTTATTCTTGGTCCACAGCCCAGGAACCTGACTTCTATATTTTAATGTTTGTTACAGGAAAGTCTCTCTACGTGAAGAGATTGCATGAAACTCTGAAAATGAAGTTTACTGGGGAAAACGTGCCTCTCAAAATTATTCGACTGATTGACCCTCAGGTAGATGAGAACCAGGTCCTGGGCTCCCTGCTGCCTTTCCTGGGCGCCAAGTACCAGGCGAGCCCCGTGATATTCCACCTGGACGTGACCTCCTCGGTGAGTGCCTGGGATTCCAGTCAGTGGCCATGTCCAGAAAGACACGGTGGCTCCTAGGTCCTGTCCTGCCTCCTTCCAAGCATAATAAACTTCATTATCACCTGGCCAGTGTTGCTCAGGGGTTGAGTGTCGACCCATGAACCAGGAGGTCACGGTTCAATTCTAGGTCAGGGCACATGCCTGGGTTGTAGGTGTGATCCCCAGTGGGGGGCGTGCAGGAGGCAGCCAATCCATGATTCTCTCTCATCATTGACGTGTGTATCCCTCTTCCTTCCTCTCTTTGCAAGGAAAAAAAAAAAGAATTTCTTTATCATGTGTTGATATTCAGTCCCATCGTGTCCAAGAACAGACTAAGAAGGTCCTTGGGGGCTGGTCTTTTGCTTAAATATTGGTGGCGCGTGTGATTCTCTCTCCAGGTGCAGACTGGAATCTGGGCGTTTCTCTTCAAGCTCCTGGTGCTACAGCACTTAATGGACTCAAACGGGAAAATGTGGCTTCGGAGCCCGTGCCACTTATACGTCATCGAAATCCTGGAAGGGCAACCGGCGCTGCCTAAGAGGTCTTCAAAGTTGGTGCGCACCCGGGGCCCTGTCCCATCAGGGTGGGTGGGCTCCTTCCTAAATATTCGATCCCCACCCCCCCACCACCACTTGTGCCTTAGCCAGGCAGCAGAGTGCTGGGTTAATCAAGAAAAATCCATCCTTAGACTTACTTTTTTCAATGCATGGAATAAAAATAGTTTTATTAATTAGCAGCATCTTCAATTTGTTTGGACTCATGGTTAATGCTATGCCTCTGATGCACTAAACTCGCCCACTTGGCAGCACCACCTTTCCTGATGCAGCTGAGATGGGAAGGAGGCATTTGTCACATAAATTCCTTTCTTTTAAATTTTTTATATTCTCACCCAAGGATACATTTTTGTTGATCTGACAGAGAGAGAAACATTGATGTGAGAGAGAAAAATGGATTGCTTGCCTCCCATATGCACCCCAACTGAGGCTCAAACCTGCAACATGGCTATTGCCCTGACCAGGAATCCAACGTGCAACCTTTTGGCGCACAGGACGTCATTCCAACCGACTGAGCCACAGCAGCGAGGCTGTCACATAAATTTCTTAACAAAAGGGAGCTTTATGCTCACACACTCACACATAATGGAAAGATTTGGTTTTGGGAGCTCAGGTGAAAGCACCTCCCGCTGGGACCGCAGCTCTGACAGTGCTGAGTGTGTAGGCGACAGCCACCTGTGCTGAGGGGAGTCTGCAGACATTGCTTCATGAAAAGTGGTTTTTCATGAAGGTCTGTCCAATAGAGACCATGTTGAGAGTGCAAACACCAAAAGCATGTTTTTAGGGAATTTATTTCGTAACCATCTTATTCACCTCTCTCCTTTCCAGAGGACACGTGTTCCCCTGTTCAGTCTTCTTGACATCTTCCCAAAAGTCACCTGCAGGCCCCCCAAAGAAGTGATCTACATGGAGCTGAGCCCCGAGCGGCACCTCGAGGAGCCGGGCATGGACCCCACAGAGTTCTGCAGCGAAACCTTCCAAAGACCTTTCCAGTATCTGAAGCGGTTCCATCAGAAACAGAACCTGGACACGTTCCAGTACCAGAAGGGCCAGGTGGAGGGCACCCCCCAGGAATGCCTGCAGCACCTGCTCTTCTACTGTGGGGTGCTTGATCCCTCCTGGGCAGAGCTCCGCAACTTCGCCCTCTTCCTGAACTGCCAGCTCAGGGACTGTGAGGCCTCCACCTTCTGTGACTCCGCAGTGGTTGGGGACATACTGAGGGGCTTCAAGAATTTTGTGGTGACATTCATGATTTTCATGGCAAGAGACTTCGCCACCCCAACGCTGTGCATGTCAGATCAGAGCCCTGGGACGCAGGCAGCTGCCATGGACGGGGTCACTGAGGAGGACATAGCCCCGTTCTCTCTCCGCCGGCGGTGGGAGTCAGAGCCACACCCATACCTGTTCTTCAACGGGGACCGCACGTCCATGACCTTCATTGGCTTCCACCTGGAGCCCAAGCAGAAGGGCACATTGGATGCCATTGACCACGTGAGTAAGAAAGTGATCAAGAGGGATGTCATGAATAAAGACCTGTACCGGGTGCTGCTGCGGCAGGGTGTGCCCTTCAACGTGGACTTCGACGCGCTGCCCAGGCATGAGAAACTAGAGCGGCTCTGCCTGGCACTGGGGATCCAGCAGCCCGCGGACCCTGACAACACATACGAGCTCACGACAGACAACATGCTGAAGATCCTGGCCATCGAGATGCGCTTCCGGAGCGGAATCCCCGTCATCATCATGGGGGAGACCGGCTGCGGGAAGACCCGGCTAATCCGGTTCCTCAGCGACCTGCAGCGCGGGGCCTCCAAGGCCAAGACCCTGCAGCTGGTCAAGGTCCACGGCGGGATGAGCGCGGACATGATCTACAACAAAGTCAAGGCGGCAGAGGCCCTCGCCCAACTCAACAAGAGCAAATACGGGCTCAACACCATCCTATTCTTTGACGAGGCCAACACCACGGGCGCCATCAGCTGCATCAAGGAGGTCCTGTGTGACCACATGGTAGGCGGGCGGCCGCTGGTGGAGGACTCGGGCCTCCACGTCATCGCGGCCTGCAATCCTTACCGGAAGCACTCCCCAGAGATGATCGCCCGCCTGGAGGCGGCCGGGCTGGGCTACCGGGTGCGTGCAGAGGAGACGGTCGACCGGCTGGGCTCCATCCCTCTGCGGCAGCTGGTGTACCGTGTCCATGCACTGCCTCCGAGCCTGCTGCCCCTAGTGTGGGACTTCGGACAGCTGAACAACACCACAGAAAGGATGTACATCCAGCAGATCGTGCGGAGGCTGGTGGACACCACCACAATTGGCCCAGACAAGACATGCGTGATCACCAACGTGCTTTACGCCTCCCAGTGCTTCATGCGGAGAGGAGAGAATGAGTGCAGTTTCGTTAGCCTCCGGGATGTGGAGCGCTGCATGAGAGTCTTCTGGTGGTTCTACGACCACAGCAAGATGCTTCTGTCCAAGCTGGACACCTTTCACAGCAAGCCTGGCGACAGCCCCGACAACTCCAAGAGAGACCCCGTGCTCTGGTCCCTGGTGCTGGCCGTTGGGGTGTGTTACCATGCCTCCCTGGAGAAGCAGGACGAGTACCGCAGAGCCATCTGTAAGCTCCTCCCGCCGCCCTACGACAACAGCAAGACCATACTGGATGCGATTGCGCGAACGCAAGACCTCTTCCTGGAGAGCGTATCTCTGAGGAAAACCATCGCCAAGAACTTAGCCTTGAAGGAGAACTTCTTCATGATGGTCATCTGCATCGAGCTGAAGATCCCACTCTTCTTGGTGGGGAAGCCTGGCAGCTCCAAATCTCTCGCTAAGACCATCATGGCAGATGCCATGCAAGGCCCAGCTGCCCCCTCGGAGCTCTTCCGGAGCCTGAAGCAGGTCTACCTGGTGTCGTTCCAGTGCAGCCCGCACTCCACCCCGCAGGGCATCGTGGGCACCTTCAAGCACTGCGCCCGCCTGCAGCAGGGCCGGGACCTGGAGCAGTACGTCTCCGTGGTGGTGCTGGACGAGGTGGGCCTGGCCGAGGACTCGCCCCAGATGCCCCTCAAGGCCCTGCACCCGCTGCTGGAAGACGGGTGCATCGAAGACGACCCCGCCCCCCCACAAGAAGGTGGGCTTCATCGGCATCTCCAACTGGGCCCTGGACCCCGCCAAGATGAACCGGGGCATTTTCGTGTCCCGCGGCAGCCCCAGCCAGAGGGAGCTCATCGGGAGCGCCCGGGGGATCTGCGCGTCCGAGCCCCTCGTGCAAGAGAGAATCCAAGCGTACTTCCGGCCCTTGGCCAGCGCCTACGAGGCGGTGTGTGCCAAGCAGGACAAGGAGTTCTTCGGGCTCCGAGACTACTACAACCTCATCAAAATGGTCTTCGCTGCCGCAAAAGCTTCTAACAGGACACTCTTCCCGCAAGATATTGCACAGGCCATCCTTCGGAACTTCAGTGGCAAAGACGAGATCCAGGCCCTGGACATTTTCTCTGAGCACTTGCCCGAGGTGAAGCTCACCACGGAGGTCAGCACCCTGCAGCTGATCCAGCAGAACCTGTTCGGGGACCTTCCAAGGGCGCCAGGCACGGGGCCAGAGGACTCGGAGTCCCGCTACCTGCTGGTGCTGACCAGGAACTACGTGGCCCTGCAGATCCTGCAGCGGATGCTCTTCGCCAAGGACCAGCAGCCAGAAATCATTTTCGGATCCAGTTTCCCCCGGGACCAGGAGTACACACAGATCTGCCGGAACATCAACCGCGTGAAAATCTGCATGGAGACAGGCAAAATGGTGGTGCTGCTCAACCTGCAGAACCTCTACGAGAGCCTCTATGATGCCCTCAACCAGTACTACGTCTACCTTGGGGGCCAGAAGTACGTGGACCTTGGCCTGGGGACCCACCGGGTCAAGTGCCGGGTCCACCCTGACTTCCGCCTCATCGTCATCGAGGAGAAGGACGTCGTCTGCCAGCAATTCCCCACTCCCCTCATCAACCGGCTGGAGAAGCACTACCTGGACCTCAACACTGTCCTGGAGAAGTGGCAGAAGGACCTTGTGCAGGAGCTCAAGGGCTGGGTGGACAAATTCATCGACTTCAAGGCAGTGCAGGTTCCTGCCCGGCATACCCGGTATAGCCCTCCTGACATCTTCATCGGCTATCACGCAGACACCTGTGCCTCGGTGGTGCTCCAGGTCATCGAGAGGGTTGGGCCTGGGGCCCCGAGCCACGAGTGTTACCATAAGGTCCTGGAGGACGCCAAGCTGGTGCTGCTGAACTGTGCCACACCCGATGCTGTGGTCCGGCTCAGCACCTCCCCCCTGGGCCAGTTTGCTGCACAGTCCCTGTCCCGAGAATACTATTATGGGCAGCAGCACAACTCCTTTGCAGACTTCCTGCAGGCTCACCTCCATGGGCCGAGTCCGGAGCACCATGCCTTCTTCACAGAGGTGATTCTCTCCCTATAGTTTCACCATCACCCTCTTTCACTTCAGAGTCCTTGATCACTGGTGTAAAAAATGAAAGGTTCTCCTCTAGTCCATGTCTAGGAATCAGAAAGGGATAGATTGAGGTTTTTTTTAAATATATACTTTTATTGATTTCAGAGAGGAAGGGAGAGAGATAGATAGAAACATCAATGATGAGAGAGAATCATGGATCAGCTGCCTCCTGCCCACAAGTCGGGCATGTGCCCTGACTAGGAATAGAACCCTGACCTCCTGGTTCATAGATTGATGCTCAATCACTGAGCCACACCAGCTCTTCAAAGTATGTTGAGACTTTTGCTTCTTCTTCATGTTACATGTGGAGAGACCCAGATATGTATTAAAGTTTGGTCTCACTGCAATTTGGGCGCCAATGTCTGTGCAGCATTTCGTGTGGACAGGAACCTCAGCACAGGAAGCACCACGTTTGAGGACTGTGCTCAGGGAACTGGGAATGTATCCCACTGTTGTCCTTGCTCAGCATACCATGTAAGGTGGACAGACAGACTCATGAACCTGTGCCATTGATATCGTTCCAGAATGCTTTCCCCAGGCAAAGAGGGGCAACACAGGTCAGATGGGATCTTCTCTTTTTGTTAATCCTCACCCGAGGATATTTTCTCCATTGATTTTCAAATAGAATGGGAGGGGGAGAAAGAGAGAGAGAAACATCAACATGGGACACATCAATTGGTTGCCTCCCACACACACCCCGACTGGGGTGGGTATGAACCTGCAACCAAGATATGTGCCCTTGACCAAAATTGAATCTGCAAATCTTTGGTCCATGGGCCAATGCTCTAACCACTGAGTAAACCAGCTAGGAACAGGCAGTGCTGGGGCTGACCAGCAGACTCTGAGAGATGGATGAATGATTACTCTGACACATGTTTATGTGAAAGAGAGGACTAAGGGACTGCCTGGCTAAAGGAACCAGACAGCCCTGTTCACCTGCCTCCTTAGGCTTTTATTATAACAACAGCTTGAACTAAAATTAACTATTAGATACTATCAGCGGGTAAGTATCCTTGAGAAGACACATGTGTCTGCAGTATCCTTTGAGCAAGGACGTTCTGAAGTCTAAATATAAAGATTCCACTAAAACACCTGGGGGCTCAGACTTGTTTGGAAAAGTCAAGGCAGGGTCTGCTGCCTTTGACAAGGTCCCCCTACAGTCCCTGACCTTCTGGAGAGTCCTCCTTGCAGACTTTCCAACCAAGCCCCATACTTCCCCACAAGGCAGGATTTTCTTTAAGAGGTGGCCCCACAGGGACTGGGAATTATGGTTGGGAAAGTATCACAGTAGACGGTGTCAAGGTGAGAAACAGCAGAGCCTGTACAGGAGATCAGGAGTGGTTCACTGATGGTGGCTAATATGCAAAGCCGGGAGTGCTGAGAGGTGGGGTGAGCGACTATTGGAGAGACTTCATGGAGGGCCTTGTTGGCGGCACTGAGAGTTTGATCTTTCCTGTGTGGAGGGGAGTGATGGAGATATGTGTGGGGACATGGGGGGAAGGTGTGATGAGAGACTGTCATAGAAAAGACACACCAGTGGGGAGGCTGCTGTGAGTGTTCAAAGTAAATGACGATGGCTAGAAAGGAGTAGTTAGGAATACATTGGCAGAGTGAACGGCTGATCCCGTATAAGAGCTGCGGGAGATGGAGGGGTCTGGGGATGATTCCCGGGTTCTTCCTTGGATGGCCAGAGGTCTGGTTAATCATAATAGAGGATTTTGGAATGAGCAGTGAGTTGGGGGAGGAGGGGCCGGGGGAAGGGACAGAGGTAAATTCCACTTGGTGCCCCTGTCAACCCAGGAGGATGTGACTGTCATGCAATTGGATGTAGAAGCTCAGTGGGAAGGCCAGCCTAGAGACAGGGGATTTGGCAGCTGTCAGATCAGCATTCCCATAATGAGCATTGGTTGCACTATGCGGTGTGACCCAGTGGCACGGAGAATTGCTGGTAGCCATGAAAAGGAAGGGGCGTCATCAGCTAACTCCATCTGAAAGTATGAAGCAAGGTTGCCGGGGAGGAAATGCCATTTGTGTTGAGCCCTAAGGGATAGTTACACTTTCCAGTAAGGACCAAAGCAGGAAGAGCTGCCTGAGTCTGGGAAGGAGACTCCGTCTTTGGGACAGGGTGTCTTCTCTCCACTGCCTTCTGATCCTGGGTTCTGTTCCCCTCAGTACTGCCTTGTTTTTAAAAACTCTGGGTTTGGACTCTTTTCTGTCTGTGCCAGCAGCACGGTGCTAGCCCATAAACGGTACTGGCTGAACATGCTCGCGTTTCCAGGATCTAACCCTAGGAGACGTGCAAATAGTTTGCATTCCATCACCTTGCAGATTACTACTTTCTCCAGACTGCTCACCAGTCACGACTGTGAGATGTTGGAATCGGAAGTGAACGACAGGGCTCTGAAACCCATGATCCTGTCACTGCAGCAGTTTGACACCGAGCACTCATTCCTCAAAGAAGTTCGGTGAGGTCCCCTGCCTGCCCTCCCTCTGGGCTCCATCCTCAGCTCTGGCCACATCGTATGTCGTTTGTGTGGCTGGAGTGACCACGGTGCTGTCACCAGTGTTGGGTAATGAACATGAGGACCCAGGACTCTGAAAAGGAGACTTGTTAAATCCTCCAGAGTCCCTGTCACCGCTGTTGTCTTCTGGGTGGGCATCCTTCTCTGAAACCTGGTCCTCGGGTCTCATTAGGCAGTGTTTACTGGGTTGCCCACTCACTTTGTAGAAGAGAATCCCTCCTGAATAGTTTAATAGTAGCCCTTATAGTTCCCATAGTCCTGGGGTGGAGGGAGGAAAGGGAGGGCTTTATCATCCCTTTTTAGGATAGAGAAATAACTTGTGTAATTCCTCTTTTTTCAGAAACTGTTTGACAAGCACAGCCACACGTAAGATCCTCATCATCCAGACAGATTTTGAGGACGGTGTTCACAGTGCCCAGCTCATCGCCTCGGCTAAGTACGTTTTGTTCTTTTGGAAAGCACCTAAAGGGGTTCTTCCCTGAAGACAGTACAGGATCATAATACACATAGAAATAAGAATAAAACTGGCTCTCGCTTTCCATTTTTCCAATCATGGACTAGAGAAACTGAAAAAAGAGAAGCAAAAAGGAGGAAAGGCTAAGAACAATACCAAAATGGAGAAACGCAAGAAGTGTAAATAGAACATTAATAGGATATAAATGAATATCCTAGAAACATGGGTTTGCAGACATGTTTTGGTCATGATTAGCTTTAAATGATACAATTTGAATTTATTGCAAGGTCAAGGGCAGGAACAGGATGGAAATAATTTCATTTGTATTTCTTGGATTTTTAAATAGTGTTTGTCAGGTAAATATGATGCCTTCAGAATTGTGTTCCTGTTACTGTGTGTCATGGCTCTTTGGTCACTGGTTGTCTGTCCATGGAAACTTGCTTCTTGAAATGCAAAGTCCCACTAGTCTTGCTTTCGGTGGGAAGAGGGAAGCCATCGTGGATCCCAGAGTAGAGTTTATGATCCATAAGAAATGCCCCTTCAAAGCTGAGGGACACAGGGATGGGGGAGAAAATTCACCTTCTTAAAGAACGTGCCCTCATTCTCTAAGAAGAGAGATAAGGGCAACATTTATTTAAAACTGAAAGAAGGGAGACTCTGAGCTTCAACCTGCCAGCTCTTAGGACACCCTCCAGCTACTTCGCAACTTTGGTTTTGTGTATTGGCTTTGTTTTTGCTGCTTCAATTTGTTTTGGTTTTGCTTGTTTATTTTAAAAAATAGACATTCTGCTATAAATGAAATCAACAAGATACAAGGAAATAATGCCTGCATCTTTGTCTATTTCATCACAAAACTGTCCCGGATGGAAAGTGGAACGTCCTATGTGGGATTTCACGGAGGTAGGACAAACAAATTAGTAAATGTGGTTACGTAAGTCCCATTTGAGTTATTTCTAGCTTGGTCCTAGGGTATACAAGTCTGAAATTAGAATATCAGTGTTACTCCCAACATTATTCATTTCAGATGAGATTACACTTGTTACTGCTGATTCCTACTAAAAACACCCATCTTTGGACTTGCTGCTCAGCACATAGAATTTTCTGTATTAACTTGTAAACGCTCCATCAGTGTCTTAGGTTCCTCAGCATCTCCTTTTTTGTTGTTGTTATTTGTTTTTGTGTTTTTCTTTTTGTTTAATCCTGATCCAAGGATGTTTTTTCCCAATTAATTTCTAGAGAGAGTGGAAGGGGGTGAGGGAGGGAGAGAGAGAAACATCAACATGAGAGAGAGACATTGATTGGTTGCCTCCACACCGACCTGGACACTGGGGCTGGGATTCAAGCCAGCAACCCTTTGGTCGTTGGGCCGATGCTCTAACCACTGAGCAACTGGCAAACAAATGGGAAATGCAGAGAAGGTATTTCCAACGCACCTGTGATGAACACACTGATACTTTATGCCTGTTTTGGGGTGAGGAGGAATGCTATCTTAAATCAGCCTCCCTCTCTCCCTCTCTCCATCCTTCCTGCCTCTCCTGACAAATGGCTCACCAAGTATTTATGATGTGAGAAAGTTGATCTTCTAGAACCAGCAAATGTGATTTACTTTAATAATTCCATAGACAATGGGAGGCCTTCCTGCCAGTGCCCCTGGCCCTGTACTGACCGCGTCTCCACAGGTAGAACACCAAACATATAAAAGGTCCACCAGCTCGGGCCGCCTTTCCACATCAGGTATTTTCGTCTGGCATGGATTTCTGGTTGAGAAGCTGAGATGCAGGCTGGGCCAGGGGTTTAGGCTCCAGGACACAAGTCTCTCACTTGGTAGCTGTGCGTCGCTGCCGGCACCAGCAGCATGTCCCTGCTTCTGGCTGAAGGACACACGGAGACTCGGGTGGCTTTGCCTCTGCAGGGCTGTGGCAGTCCGTGCACATCGATGACCTCCAGAGATCCACGACTATGGTCTCCGATGTGATGCAGCTGCAGGATGTGACCATCAGCCAGCTATTTGACCCTGAGTGTATGCCCCGGGAATGCCCTGGGGGGCGTGGGAGGGCAGGTGTGGTGGCCAACCGTGTCAGGAGTACCTCTGCCTGTGAGCTTTGGGAACAGGGCCCCTGGTGTCCTGTCCCGAGTCCTCACCCCCGCCCCTCAGCAGACAGTATTTCACCAGAAACGGTGGGTCTGGTGGAGCAGACGGAGCAGCGGTGAGTGCCTGTGGCCTGTGCCACTTTCTGTTCCTACATCGGCCTCAGAGCATGGGACCCAAGCAGAGGACCCCTGAGGGGTGGACCTGAGGCTGAGCTGTGTGCCTGGGCCTCTCCTTGGGAGCCACTGCAGTCAGGAGCCAGGAAACAGCTCACGGGCATAGCGCCAGCACCCAATAGTCAGTGGCTGGACGGTGTTGCTTCTGTTGCAGCCGAGGTGGGATTCGAGGCCAGACATGGCCAAGAGGAGGCGATGGGAGTGGAGACCAATGAACCAGGGCCCATGGCTGCTGTGGACATGGAGACAGTGGACATGGAGATGGACAGTCCAAAGGCCCAGAGAGGCCACGTGAGTGCAGCTGTCTCATATCCTGGGCCTCCGGGAGCTGCGGGCTCCCTGGGAATCTGAGGAGTACAGGGCCGTGGGCAGATCAGCCCAGCACTTCTTTCCTCCACGCTGTGCATGCAGACGAAATATAGGACAGGGTCCGACATGGGCTCTTCCTGCGTCTCCCGGATGAGTCCTGAGCACACGTGATCCCCTCGCAGGAGTTCTGAGAGGAGCCGGGCAGGGGAACGGGGGCGGGGGGGTGGGGGGGGCGGGGAACTGTGGCCAGGATGCATCCCCTGCCCCCCCTCGCCACTCCCATGGGCCCTGGGGACCTATTTCCAGCTGGGCCTGCCTGTGCGCAATGACTAACGGAAGCTCAGTTGTGTCCCCACAGACGCGGGCCCTGGACTGTGACAGCCTTCTGCGCAGCTGCGTCCAGAGCGCGGTGGGCCTCCTGCAGGACCCAAGCGAGCGCAGCCAGCGCAACGTGAGGCGCGTGGAGATCCTGCTCGGCCTCCTCAGTGAGGACGCAGGCAACGCGTGCAAAGGTGAGTCCCTGGGACCCCCCCTTGGCTTGTCCACAAGCAGGCCCTCCCGCTGGGCCCTCCCAAGCTGCTCCAGTCCTGGCCTGGCTGCAGGGAGGCCGCTCCGCTACAGGGGGCTGGGCGACACTGCGGGCCCAGCACAGGTCCTGGCGTGAGGCCAATGGCGTCCCCTCTGCCGTGTTACAGCCTCCTTCTCACGGGTGGCCAAGGTGCGCATCCATGACCTGCTGCGGCAGCAGGAGGAGAGCTATATGTTCAGCAGGAAGGAGTGGGTTGTGCAGGAGGCCTCCAACCCTGACGCCCTGCAGGAGGCAGGCACCTTCAGGTACCTGATCAAAGACACAAGGGATGCAAGGGGCGGTGGCAGGCAGATGGGTGACACAGGCAGGCAGGTGACAGGAAGCGAGCAGGTGACAGGCAGATGGGTGACAGGCAGCTGGCGGGTGACAGGAAGGTGTGCTCACATCCTACCTCCTCCCCTGCCCCCCGCCCCCGATGTCAGGGTGCCCTACATTTCTTTCTCTGAGCAATTCAAAGTGGTCTTTTTTTGAAATATATTTTTATTGATTTTCGAGAGAAAAGGAGAGGGAAAGAGAGATAGAAACATCAATGATGAGAGAGAATCATTGATGGGCTGCCTCCTGCACGTCCCACACTTGGGATTGGGCCTGCAACCTGAGCATACGCCTTGATGGGAAATTGAACTGTGACGTCAATGACACAGGTTCATAGGTCCATGCTCAGCCACTGAGCCACACTGGCCAGGCTCAGATTGCTCTTTTTTCTTTTTCCAAAAATGTACGAGATGGTCTGGTGGTGTTGTGTGGGGGTTTGCCGCCTCATCTCTCTACGTTTGTGTGTGTTTATGCCTGTTCTTACACTGTTGCCAGCAAGTCAGGAGCCTGGAGGCAGACGCGGTTTCAGGTTATTGGATGAAGGTGATGTGTGCAGGGAGGGGAGAGAAACTACTTTCTCAGACCTGAGGTTGAGGTTATTTGATAACAACAAAAGCAAGATGTTGGGGAATTCACTTTGTGCCCAGGGTCCTTTGTCCATAAAGCCCCTTTCTTGGGACCAACCCCAAGTGACCCGTGTGGCCCAGGGGTGGGATGGGCCTGGACCTCAGGGGCAGGGCTCTCACCTTGGGCATCACTGTGGCCCTCAGCTCCGTCCTCTGTGAATGGAGGTTTTACTCACCCACAGCCCCTCAGGGCGCAGCCTCCACCACTTGCTGGGTTTGGCTCTGGGCATATCGGCGGGAGAGGCTAGGACACAGTCCGTGTGGGATAGCAAATGGCAGCTAGGTAACGTGGTTTCATTATCGTTAGGGTTTTTCTGCTTCTCTTTTTTCTCCAGTTATCCTTAATTTCTTGCCTAGTTATACTTTCTGGGTAAGGAATTTTATAAGATATGAACCTAGTAAGATTTTCATTTCCCTTGGCTGCACCTATGCACTTTACTAAACACTTAATTTTACACAAATACTTCTTAAGGCTGTGGTTTCAGCTTCCCCACTGCCAGGCACTCAGTGGGGTCGGGCAGCCCACCTCCCGCAGCTCTGCTGCTCGCTGCAGTGTTGGGACTGGCCCATCTCAGCCTGTGGTCAGGGCAGGTCAAAGCCTCATGCATTTGACTCGCCTCTGTCAGATGTCAGGTGTCAGACAGAACTCTGGAGCCAGCTGGTCCCTGACCTCAGCCTTGGGGGCGAGCTGGTCACCATCCATGTGTTTGAGACCAAAGTCCTTCCTTTGTCCCCTCGGGATTAAAGTCCAAATCCTGGTGATCCTGCTTGGGTTTTCCTGACTTCAGAGCCCACAGCCAGCCTGCCCATCCAGGTGCCTTCCCTGCAGCAGCCAGGGTTTACCTTTTAATGAATTATAGCTTAGTGTATAGAAACATATTTATCACAAGGTAATGTAGTTCATACACACAAACAATCAAAGGTATATGGCAATACTCACATCTAATGGACAAATCCACCAGGGACCAATGCTAACCCGGGGGTAGCCGTGTGCTTTTCCACGATGGTCCCTCTCACCCAGACCGGGATCCCCCCTCGCCCCCTGCTGCAGGCACGCCCTCTGGAAGCGGATCCAGGGCGTGGTGACCCCTCTCCTGGCCAGCATGGTGTCCGTCATCGACAGAGACAGCAACCTGGAGCTGCTGGCCAAGCCTGACGCTCCAGCCTGGACACAAGAGCTTTGGATGTTTATTTTCAATGATGTTAACCTGCTGAACATCCCTCTCGTGACGAAGGATGCCAGGTGAACACAGGCTTCCTTTCTGTGGTGGGGGAGCCCCAGCGTGGTGGCAGCCTGACTTCAGAGTCGCACTGGAGTCAGCACCCCTCGCAGCCCGAAGGGCTCAGAGAGCCGTGACTTTCTGAGATGCCTGTGCCTCCTTCACCAGCAGGTCACAGCTGGTGTCGCCAGCGCCGGCATACGCGTAAAGAAGCTGCCAGGGCACTGCAGCTCGGCCGGTGCGCTTCTGGGCCCCCGCTGCTCCGTGGGGCCTGCTCCTGTGCGACTCGGGCTCAGCTGGTTTCCCGGAAGCTTCTCGCTTGCGTCTTAGGGGCTTCGATTCTGGGGCGTACTGTTAATAAAGTAGAGTGCATGGGATTCGGAATCCGGTGGAGACACTAGGAGACAGACACTGTTGGTCCTGAGACAGACCCTCTCCCAGTCATAGTCCATCGGCAGGGGGCACGGCAAGGTCCTAGCTCCCCAAGACTTCTGCCAGTCTGTGTACGTGACCCCTCCCTGCCCTGGTCTGTGTTTGGGGGTGTCCATAGCCTCCAGAGACCAGTCTCCAGGAAAGAGGAGCACGGTGGCTCCTGCCTGCATCTCAGCGACATCTCACCACCCATGCTTTCGGCCCTCACTTGAAGGTCCAAGAGCGACATGGCCCACATCCTGATGCAGAACCACACACACGGCCTGGAGGGGGTCTGCGGTGCCGTCCCTTTCAGCTGGCGCATCCGGGACTATGTGGAGGAGCTGTGGGTGCAGGCACAGTACATCTCCAAGGCCACAGGTGCGCCGGGACTGGTGGGGGCAGGAAGCGAGCCCGCTCCATCCTGAACAGTGAGGGCCTGGGACTTGGGAGGTGTTGCCGGCAAAGAGAGCACAGGGCCTGCGTCTGGGCAGCTGTCCGGGCCCCTCCTGAGCGCCCAGCGCCAGGATATGCTCTCAGCGTTCCAGGAAATCCAATAGTCACCTTCATAATGAACTAGTCTTCTCAAAGTGGACGCACAAGTACTCCTTTAAGAAATACAGGTCGAGCCCTGGCCGGTGCTCAGTGGTTAGAGCTCATCCCCCTGACCAAAAGGTCTCGGGTTCAATTTTCAGTCAAGGGCACATACCTTGGTGGTAGGTTTGATTCCTGGCCCTGGTCAGGCATCTAGGAGGCAACCAATGAATGTGTCTCTCTCACATCAATGTTTCTCTTTCTCTCCCCCCTCTTCCTCCATCCCTTCTACTCTCTAAAAATCAATGGAAAAAATACCCTCAGGTGAGGATTAACAAAACAAAAAAATATATACAAGCCGAAACACTTGAAGATGAGGTTACTTTTCTAAGTAAGCACCTGCCACTCTTTCTGAGCAAACTGGAAACAGGAAAGAGTGTTTCTCTCTTCTGGGGCCACATCCCCACCCACCCTGCTATGCCAGGGAGCATGCCATGTGGGACAGTGCCCTGTCCCTAGACTGTGGATCTTTGTGGTTTGAGCAGCAGGTGAGCCCCATCCCTGGGTTCCTGCACTTGTCCCGACTTCGCAGGCATGTGCTTGGTCTGCCTCAGGTTGTCTAATCCCTTCAGGGTTTGTGAGGCGGTTTGTAACTGAAATTATTTTTTAATATATTTTTATTGATTTCAGGAGGAAGGGAGAGGGAGAGAGAGGTAGAAACATCCATGATGAGAGGAGTCACTGATTGGCTGCCTTCCACCTGCCCCACACTGGGGACTGAGCCTGCAACCCGGACAAGTGCCCTGACCAGGAATCCAACTGTGACCTCCTGGTTCATAGGTTGATACTCAACCCGCCGGGCTGTGACTGAAATTTAACATTGATTCTGCCTTTGTGTCTGTCGTTGCCCTAAAAATATCTAAAGCATCTAGAAATGACCTCAGAGTAGATCGCCCAGTGTCCTTCAAGGTCGTGCGTGGCGTAGCCCCTTCCCTGCTGTATAAGTCAGCAGAGCGGCGGGCCCACCCATGGAGGCCGCGCCCCGGGGGAGGGAGGGAGAACGTGGCCTGGCCCTCACCCCCCACCCTGTGGGCCCCTCCGCAGGACCGGGACCGGTAGGGAAGCTGGTGGAGATCTTCCGGCAGACCCCGCTGGGCCACTTCCTCGCCCGGCTGCGTGCAGAGGAGCGGCAGGAGCTGCTGCGGGCCTACCTGAGGGACTTCCTGCTCCTGACCGTGCAGGTGTCCACGTGGCCAGAACTGGAGGTGAGTGCGGGCGCTGGGCCACGCCCGGCTGCGGACACGGAGCTGCGGGCAGAGCGTGGTCTAGGGGCGCACCGTGGGTGCCACCTAGCCACTCCCTCAGCCCCTGGAACTGCTGCTTTTCAATGCTTAGTTTCTCTTGAAGAAAATTAAGTAAACGTTTCACTGACCATTACAATGGAAAGATGAACATCTTTTAAACTTTTGTACATAAAAAAGGAAAGGGGCCGGACCGGTGTGGCTCAGTGGATAGAGCATTGGCCTGTGGACTGAAAGGTCCCAGGTTCGATTCCGGTCAAGGGCATGTACCTTGGTTGCGGGCACATCCCCAGTGGGGGGTGTGCAGGAGGCAGCTGATCGATCTCTCTCATCGATGTTTCTGATTCTCTATCCCTCTCCCTTCCTCTCTGTAAAAAATCAATAAAATATATACATTTTTTAAAAAAATTTTTAAAAAAGAGGAAAGGATCATATTTGAGGAGCACATATAACCAATATGATTAATTAATAAACTATTCTTAGGAATCAATAAGGAAATCCCCCAACTTTAAAAAATGAAAATTATGCCTGGCCAGTGTGTTCAGTGGTTGAGTGTCGACCTATGAACCAGGTCACGGTTTAATTCCTTGTCAGGGCACAGGCCCGGGTTGTGGGCTCGATCCCCAGTAGGGGGCGTGCAGGAGGCAGCCGATCCATGATTCTCTCTCATCATTAAAGTTTCTCTTTCTCCCTCTCCCTTCCTCTCTGACATCAATAAAAATATATTTAAATAAAATAAAGTGTATTTGTGTGTGTCTGTGTGTAACTGTGTGTGTCTCTGTGTGTGTCTGGGTGTGATTTACAAACACACCCTGAAAGCCTGTCCTCCTCCCTCCTCGCCCCCCCCCCCCTCCAGTTCCTGCAGATGGCTCTGTGGTCCTGCGTCCAACAGCTGAGGGTGGGGAGCCCTAAACAGGAGCTCTCCCTCCCGTGGGTGCACTGGGCCTACCAGCATTTCAGGGTCCGGCTCCAGAACTTCTCCAGAATCTTGACTATCTACCCCCCAGTTCTAGACAGCCTGGCAGCAGCTGCCCGGAGGCAGGACTTGGCTGGACCTGAGATGGTAGGTGCCTTCTGGGGACAGTTAGTGCTTGGCCGGGGCCGGGCCTTCCTGAAGGGAGGGTGGGGAGGCTGGCAGTCAAGCTCCAAATGCGAGGCTCCTGCATGAGGCACATGCATCGCGAGATTCAGACGTGAGACACATCCAGTAAGTGCCTTCTGCACCCAGGACAGTGAAGATGGGACTGGGAGCTGGGCCTCCGGGCCTCTGGCATGAGACCTAGCGCCACCACAGGGGCTGGGCAGCAGCTGAGTCCCCACTCACCCTCCACAGACCCTGGACGCCTGGGCAGCCCTGGCCTGCACAGAGCTGCTGACCAGGGACCTCCTGAAGCCCAGCCCCCAGGCGTGGCTGCGGGCGGTGAAGAGCCTGGCGGTGCCCCTGCAGTTGCTCTGCTCTGAGGGCTACGTGCAGGGCCCGGGGCGCAGGGCCAGCGGCCTCATCGGAGAAGTCAGGTGAGCGTCCCACCTTCCACTCCTGTCCACAGTAGCCCGCTGAGTCCGGGAGAAGGACACAGGTGCCGGCATGGAGGAGCCCCTTCCTCCTTCCCTCCTTACATCTGTGGAGCCCTCCCCATGCCAGGCTGCACGCTGGTGCTGGAGACCCCGGGAAGAAGAGAAAACCGCATTCCGGGTGTGCAGGGATGAAGGGGGACAGAAAGGCAAGCAGGAATACTGTGGCCACGGGGCACCCGGAACGGATCCCAAGCAAGATAGGGAGAGCAGGACGACAAGGTGGGGGGCACAGCCAGGGCAGTCGCACATCGGGTACACGTTCTGTGCTGGTCTTAGGGGCACAGAGGGACTCACCAGGCACAGGCTGAGCTCAGCATGTGTGACATCGAGTTACATCCCCATGAGGTCCAGGGGAGATGAAGTGGTACAGGTCGGGCTCACAGCACAGGGCGCACCAGGCCCCTCCACCTGCACCCCAGCCCCCCTTCGCCTGCACCCAGGCCCCCTCCCTCTGCACCCGGATCCGTGGCCTGTCCCCCACTCCAGGGCCCCTCCTCGTGGTGCCCCAGGCTCCTTTGTCAGAGCTGAGCAGGGCACTCTCCTGACAGAGGCCAGTGGACTCGCATCTTCTCTGTTGCGCTCTTCGTGGAGCACGTGCTCCTGGGGACTGAGGACCACTCGCCCGAGCTGCACACGCTGCTGACGGATTATGTCTTCTCTCTGGACAAGGTGAGGCGATGGCCTGCGTGTCTGAGAGGGAGAGGGACCCAGGTATGACTTCAGCGCCACAAGGTTGTCTAAAGTACCAAGGGCAGAGACCTCCCCACACAGGCCACCGGTCTCTGCGTGGTCACTGCTGGGTCCTGGGCCCTGTCCTCAGTGCAATCCGAGCAGATCGCTGCACGGAAACGACCATGCGGAGAATGGGGGGAAGGCAGAGCTCCGCCCAGGCCGCCAGGGGACCCCAGACCAGCCCCCTGACCACTTGCCAAAACTTGGGAACATTCTAAAAGCCCAAGAGCAGAAAACAGGGAATTGGTAAGCCCATCAGATGGTGCCAGGTACCGGGAGTGAGCGGGACCTGCAGGTTGCAGAAGCTGGGGACAGAGTGATAGAATGTTTCAGCCACGTCTTAAGGGATCACAGGATCTTCTGTTCTCCCTGGGGAGGGGAGGCAACTGATCAGTGTTCTCTCTCATCATGGATGTTTCTCTTTCTTTCCCTTTCCCTTCTCTCGGAAATTATATGTATATAAAGATGCCCTGGCCGGTTTGCTCAGTGGTTAGAGTGTGGCCCCACAGACTGAAGGGTCTCAGTTTTTATTCTGGTCAAGGGCACATACCTCGGTTTTGGGTTCTATCCCCAGCCCTGCTTGGGGCATGTATGGGAGCCAACCAATGGATGTGTATCTCTCACATCAATGTTTTTCTTTCTCTCCCTCCTTTTTCCTCCCTCCCTTCCACTCTGTCTGCAAATCAATGAAAAAATATCCTCAGGTGAAGGTTAAAAAGAATGTCGTCTCTCTCCCAAAAGCAACAGTGTCACAAAGAGCATTCAGAGATAGTGACACACACGCCAGGCCTCACCCAGCAGATGGACAGGACGGTGCTGACCACACATGTCCGCCGGCTGGCAGGGGGGGTGTCGGCACCTGGACTGGCTGACCCGCCCCCCTCGCTGCTGACCCTCTTCCTGATCCCTGCTTTCCCCACCAGTGTCTGCAGGAGAACTCAGACATCAAGACCCTCCGCCCGTTCTCGGCGGTGATGGCCCTTCTCCGTGAGTGTAAGGACCGGGCCAGCAAGACCTTCACCCGGTGAGCTCCCCGGCAGCCCCGAGGGAGGGAAGTCAGACCCTCTGGGTTCCTAGCATCTCCCTGCTGGCATCTCCAAGCCAGCGCTGACCACCACCCTGGGTCCTAGGTTCGGGGTCCAGTCATGCCCCGTCTGCCTGGGTGACCCACGCAGCCCGGTCTGCCTGCCCTGCGACCACGTGTTCTGCCTGGACTGCATCAGGCAGTGGCTCACCCCCGGGCAGATGACCTGCCCCCTGTGCCTCACGGAGCTGCCCGACGGCTTCTCCCCCACAGTTTCCCAGGAGACGAGGTAAAACAGTATTTTCTCTCAAGAAAGCTTTTTTCTACCATCTTAGAAATATAAGTCCATTAACCTTAGAGATCCTGAAGGGGGGACTCCCAGGAGAGACAGTGGACCTTCATAAACACCTGGTGTCTCAGAATCACTGTCTCCCCAAGGCACATGTGTGTAGCTGTGGGGGGCAGCGACGTTAGAGGAGATAAACCAGGAAGTCAGGTCATAGGCAGCTGCACAAGAGGCCCACCCACAATGGGGGCCCTGCACGTTTACCCTCACACTGTGTCCCTGCCACCCTGCACTGGGACCTGAGGGGGAGCAAGCTCCGATGGCCACGTCCTGCGGGCAGGTCGCTGAAGTCAGCAGGAGCCCAGGGGCTTTGCCCGCTCTCCCCAAGGAAAGGCTTGGCTTCCTTCCCCCTGGGGCCTCTCGGACACACCCACAGGACATTGGGAGTGTAGCGGGCTGGTCCGGATGCTCCAAAGGGTTCCTGGGGAGAGAGGAGCGCACACTTTTCCAGACCGGTTCTAATCGATGGGAGAACTTACGCCTCTGTATTTAAAAAATCAAAATGCCGGCCACATCCCAGGCACTGTTCGTGGAGGGAATCCAGCCCACCCTTCAGCCTTTGACTGTGGTTTCCCGTCCCCAAGGGTTGCCATTGAGCAGCACGGCCGCTTCCGCCACTTGTGCACCAGCTTCTTCGTGGACCTGGTGTCCACCCTGTGCTTCAAAGACAACTGCCCCCCAAGCAGGGACGTGGTCCAGGAACTGCTGTCCCTGCTCTTCGTGGAGAAGACACTGCTCAGAGATGCACCCCAAAGTACGTGGCTTCCTGCCCCAGACCAGGGGTGGGAACCGCTTTCCTGCCGAGGCCATGTGGGTGGTTATAACATCATTCGTGGGCCATACAACATTATCCACTCAGCCCGGCCAGCGTGGCTCAGGGGTTGAGCGTCAGCCTATGAACCAGGAGGTCACGGTTCAATTCTGGCTCAGGGCACAGGCCCAGGTTGCAGGCTCTGTCCCCAGTGGGGGGCGTGCAGGAGGCAGCCAATCAATGATTCTCTCTCATCATGGATGTTTCTATCTCTCTCTCCCTCTCCCTTCCTCTCTGAAATCAACAAAACAATATTTTTAAAAAATTATCTGTTTAAAAATTAGCCTGCCTTATTTAGTCAAACCTTTAATTAACTCACCCCTAATGCCTTGGCAGGCCCAGACCAAATGCTTTCGAGGGCCTGATACGGCCCGAGGCCGACGTCCCCACCCCTGCTATAGACCTCCCAGCCCTGTCCTCATCCCACACACCTGTCTGAGGTGCAGGTGGCTCACTGTCTCTCTCTGGTTTCAGGGCACTGTGAACACACCAAGTCCCTGTCCCCGTTTGACGACGTCGTGGACAAGACGCCCGTCATCCGCTCGGTGGTCCTGAAACTGCTCCTGAAGTACAGGTCAGCAAGGCGGCCAGAAAGCCCACTGCTTCTCTTCCTCGCGGGTGCTTCCTTCAGGAGGAGTCCCCATGCAGAGGAGGCCCCTGCAGGGACAGAGCCTGCCTTATTTGTCTGTGTCAGATGCGTGTTGGAGGCCTTGCTGGGGGCAAGAAAGCGGAGGCAGCGGGGGTGGCGGCAGAGGGGGTGGAAGGGCTCAGAGAGGGACTCGGCAGGGACTCCTGAGTCGGGGCCTGCGGGCTGATCCCGGGCCACAGGTGTATGATGTTTAGGAAGGTACCCGGACTCTCCCCCACCCTCCCTGTCCCTCTAAGTTATGTTTTGGCTCCTAAACGCCTATGATTCTATCTGTGGATAGAGAGGCCACAGTTTTAGAAAATTCTCCGGGAGCGCTCTGTGCTCAGGAGGCTGCGGTCGGGCCCTGGGTGCACAGCCCGACTTCTGATTGACACAGTGAGGAAGGTTCTAACAGAAACAACCATTTCTGAGTTCAATGTCCAAAAGCAGTCTCAGAGCGGAGATGTGATTTGCATGCACACAGGCTGCTGGGTCCTCGTCCACGGACCCAGTGTTTTCCTTTTCTTTAGTCCTCATTTCTGTGAAACGGGATTCCTACAGGATTTTCAAATAAAATGCCCTTAAGAGGCATTTTATTACAGAGCCAGCGTCTTGCTATGCTTGTATGATATATAAGCAAGGAGATGAGGAGAACCTCTTTGGATGTTCTGTGATTTCACTAACTTTGATAAATGTGTGCAATCCGCATTCCCCGAACCCTTGGCTTGGAGAAGTGTGAATGCAGGCACTGATGTATGTGCGTCTCGCTGCGGTGTGGACATATTCACAGGGGTAGAAATCAACCCCGACAGGGCATACGCTCCGTCCTGAGACAGGTGGACACTGACCATTACAGAACTGGTTTTAAGATAAAAATCTAGAGACATAAGACATACTTAAATCTGCATTGTCTGCAGGACGTACCGGCTGCTGTCACTGGTTCTCTTTTGCAGTCAAGTATTTCTGTGTTACGAGCTGATGTGGACAGGCCTGGGGTTACTGGTGGACACGTAGACATCAGCTCTCTGGCTGATGGGTGTGACACAGTCGCCAAGCCCTGCTGAGCCCCGCCCCGCCCCACCCCACCCCACCACTGGCTGTGCCACTGGGTGCTTGTGCTGATCTGCTATAGTGCGGGGGTTCAGAATTATTTTTTAAACAATACAAAGATACTTTGCCTTTTTCAATACGTTGGATATGCAACGATGTTCTTGCAGCAATGATGGTGTTTTATATTCTTCCAATATTGTACCAACACATTTTCAATAAAATCATGTTACATACTATATGTATGTATGTATGTATATACTATGTTAAAAACATTTTTTATTGATTCCAGAGAGGAAAGGAGAGGGAGAGAGAGAGAAACATCAGTGATGAGAGGGAATCATGGATCAGCTGCCCCTGCACATCCCCTACTGGGGATCGAACCTGCAACCCGGGCATGTGCCCTGACCGGGAATCGAACTGTGACATCCTGGTTCATAAGTCAACACTCAACCACTGAGCCACACCAGCTGGGCTGTATATACTATCTATATGGGCAGATTGAGAGATAAGTAGGTAGCTACTTTTTTCCTTTTTGGCACAATGAATTTTCAGACCTGAGATGAGCAGGTCTTCTCTCCACAGCTTCCCTGAGGTGAAGGACTGCATTCAGGACCACCTATCCCAGCTGGAGCAGAAGCCGTTCCTGGCTGAGGACAAGACGGAGCTCTACGTGCTCTTCAGCAGCTGCCTGGAGGTGAGCTCACGCCCCCGCTGCATTTCCTTCCGACCCTGTGAACCATGTGGCTTATGCGATGGAAAGTGCTTCTGAAAACCCTCAGAACGTGATTGTAGTCGGTGAGATTGTGTTCCGTGCAGAAGCAGAAGGTCTCAGAAAGGTCGCTTTGCCCTCGGTAATCGTCTGTATTGGCAGTTGTGTGCGTGAGGGAACAGCCTGGAAGAACACGCCACTGGTGCTGACAATGCTGAGCTCCAGCGGAACTGTGGACTTAGCTCAGGGACTATGAATAGCTTTCAGTTTCATTCCCTTCGTATTTTTGTTACTTTCTAAAATTTTATAGTGCATATGAAAAATTTAGATCATACACCATTTTTTCCTCATAGGTTTTCTTTGTCCCCTCTTTCTTGCCTCTAAAGTAAAAAGGAATAATAGTTTTCCATGATCCAAAAATTTACACTCAAACCTACAACATTCTTTATCCTTCCTTTATCTCCAAGGTGCACTGGAAATTTTGGAGGGTTGGGGTTTGCATTTTTTTAAAATATATTTTTATTAATTTCAGAGAGGAAGGAGAGGGAGAGAGAGAGAGAAACATCAATGATGACAGAGAATCATTGATCGGCTGCCTCCTGCACGTGCCCAACTGGGGATCGAGCCCACAACCCGGGCTTGTTCCCTTGACCGGAATCAAACCTGGGACCCTTCAGGCCACAGTTCAATGCTCTATCCACTGAGCCACACCAGCTAGGGCCAGGGTTTGCATTTTAAAAAGAACACTACTTGCCCTGACCTGGTGGCTCAGTTAGTGGAGCATCATCCCATACACCAGAAGGTTATGGATTCAATTTGATCAATGTTTCCTTCTCTCTCTCTCTCTCTCTCTCTTTCTCTCTCTCTCTCTCTCTGCCTTCCTCTCTCTAGGATCAATCATATGATAAACTTTAAAATACTCTGGTGAGGATTAAAAACTTTTTTTTAAAGAACTCTATTCATGCCAGGCCGGCCTGCCTCAGTGGTTGAGCATCGACCTATGAACCAGGAGGTCAAGGTTCGATTCCCGGTCAGGACACATGCCTGGGTTGCCCAGTAGGGGACATGCAAGAGGCAGCCAATCAATGATTCTCTCTCTCTCTTTCTTTTTAATATATTTTTATTGATTTCAGAAAGGAAGGGAGAGGGAGAGAGAGAGAGAAACATCAATGATGAGAGTGCCGGGGTTCTTGTTCCAGCATCTAGAAGGGTTCAGCAATCTGGAGAAGCGGCTGTGTGTAACTTAATAAAGAGTCCAGAGACAAAGCATAATTTTGAAAGGCATTTGGGGGTCAGATCCCCTCTCTCAGGACCCCATGCTTTTTAGTAACACAAATTGTCCTCAGGCGAGGCAGAGATATACACTTCAAAGGGTCAGGGCTTGGTACAGAGTCCATTGTCAGATTTGGGAAAACGCCTATGGCTGTTCAGGTGTTTGGCCAGTAGGAGGCAATAGCATGTAGATTAAGATGCCCTGAGCTGTCTGGCAGCAAACAATCAATTTAATGCATCCTTTTCAGGTTTGGGTAAATGCCCTTCAGCCACTCCAGATTCAGCCCTGCTGAACATGCTGGAATTGGCTTCCAGCATGAGAGAAATCATTGATGGACTGCCTCCTGCGTGCCCCATACTGGGGATGGAGCCTGCAATCTGGGCATGTGCCCTGGGCCGGAATTGAACCGGGGACCCTTCAGTCCGCAGGCTGACGCTCTATCCACTGAGAAAAACCGGCTAGGGCAATGATTCTCTCTCTTCACTGATGTTTCTATCTCTCACTCCCTCTCCCTTTCTCTCTGAAATCAACAAAAATATATTTTTTAAAAAAAGAAAGAACACTATTCACCCTGGCTGGTTGCTCAGTGGTTAGATTATCAGCCCATTGACCGAAGGTTCTTGGGTTCAATTCTGGTCAAGGGTACATGCATGGGTTGCAGACTTGATCCCCAGCCCCGGTTAGGTTGTGTGTGGAAAACAATCAATCAATGTCTCTCTCACATTGATGTTTCTCTCCTCCCCCCACCCCCTGCCTCTTTCTCTCTCGCTCCCTTTTCCCTCTCCCCCATCCCTTCCACTCTGAAAATCGATGGAAAAAATTCCCTCAAGTGAGGATTAAAATAAAGGAAACAAAAAAGAACACTATGCTTTCATTCTGGTCCCCTAGGATTCGATCCATGAGAAGAACAGCGCGCTCCCTGCCCAGGGTGACTCCACTTACCTCCAGGAGGACGGCCAGTTCCTTGGGGAGTGTCTGCCCAGGTGCAGTAGGGACCCCGCCCTGGAGGCCTCTATTGAGTACCTCCAGGAGACAGCCCGGATCCGCCTCTGCCTAGACCGGGCCTGCGAGGTCCTCTCCAAGCTGCGGGAAGGCTCAGGCAAGTCTCCACTGTCCTTCCTCCCCTTGGCTCAGAAATCCCAGGATGTGTGTGTGTGTGTCGGGGGGTGGGGGGTGGGGGGTGGGGGCGGGCACAGGAGTCCTCAGGATGACTCGGCCCTTCTTCCTGCTCGGTGGTCTGCCGGGGCCCTGTTTCACAGGCTCCGCATCTAGGACAGGGATGGATGCTGTCGGCCCTGCACTGACCACACTCTCCGTGGCCCACAGAGCTGGCGGAGGAGCAGCGGCAGTTCCTGCTGCAGCTGGAGCGCTTCTGCTCGCAGAGCGGGAATGACTGGTACCGCGTGTACTTGGTGCGCAGGCTCGTGAGCCGCCAGGGCATGGAGTTTGTGCAGAGCTTCCTGCAGCCAGACCACCCCGCCCAGTGGGTGTTCCCCCAGGAAGTCCAGGCGCAGCAGGTGAGGAGCCCCGTGGCAGCCACGCCTCTAGGCACCCTGCCCCGCCCCCCTTACCCCCAGGGAATGGACTGCATCTGTCTCCAGGGATCCATCCCCTCGCTGGCCATGACCTTCAGCAGCCTGCGAGAAGGAAAGGGGCGTGCTTACGAGGGCTGCTCGCCACCCGCCTGCAAAGCTGGTTTAGGCGTCATGACACGAGGAGCCAGACAGGGAAAGTGGGATAGAGTTGCCTCTGAGCAGTGAAGTCCCTGGGCTCATAGGACTGTCCCATGCTTAGAAATGAACACATTCTTACTGTTGCTGGGTATGAAATGGCGCTAGAAACCCTGGCTGTTTTACTGTCACCTGGAGCTCAGGGCCCCTGGGCTCTGGTGCTGCTGTGAGTGGAGCAGGCAGCACCGCGGGGTGGGCATCACCTCCTCGCCCCCCTAACACCACCCTCTGTGCACCCAGCCCTGCACTGCCTTGCCTGGGGCCAACCTGGAACCCCAGGTTCGTGCCCCTGAACCTCCAATGATGACAGGCTTCCATACCTCGCTCACAGTTCTCTGCTAAACCTCCCCCCTCTGCCCCCACCTTGGAGAACCCTGTGCTCCCGGGATTGCAGGAGGACCTTCTGGGCCAGATGGACCGCTATCTGGTGCATGGGCAGGAGTACAAGGCCGTCCGTGATGCAGTGGGCAAGGCCATCCTGGAGTGCAAGCCCCAGGCCATCGCAGCTGCCCTGGAGGTAGGATGCTCCTGTTGGAGCCCCTGGGAACACTCTCTTTCCTGGGTTAGGTGAGACTATACAGGGGAGGATGTCCGGGGGACTGCGCCGGCAGTCACGTCGGTCCAGCCAGGACAGCAGCCACAGTCAAGCTGAGTGCGCAGATCTGCTCTCCTGGAGGGCAGCTGGGGCTGTCGGTGCCCGCAGGTCCCTGGCGCTGCGTCTGTGTTGTCACTTCCACCGAGATCTCTCCTCTGGACACAGCCAGCTGCGCTCGCCTCCGCATGGAGTCAGTCCTGCGGATGCTGATTATGTGCACACGTGGCCCTCGGCGCTGATTTTAAGAATGATGCAGGATTTTTGGAATCTTGTCTTTAAAGTGTTCTGGGCTTCCTTTGTGAGCCACATGTACCCTGGCATCGTGCCAGGAAAAGAAAAGGCCTTTCCTGGGCTCCGGGAGAGATTTGGGGACCATGATGTCATTATAAAGGGGACAGACGGTGATGGGCTCCCGTCATGAGGCCTCTGGCACATTCGCAGGGAGTTTGGTGACTGTTTGATGGAGCTCGTGGACTGGGAGGCGTTGCCCTGAGGTGGACCCTCAGCTGCAGGCTGCAGGGTCTTGGGAAGGTCTCTTCCCCTCGCATGGGTGGGGGCCCATGGTTGGCGCGGACCTTGCTGCCCAGCCTCCCATGCTATCCTTGCCCCCCAGGCCTGCAGGGGCTCCCAGACTCACCAGGCCATATACCTGCTGCTGGCGCTCTTCCGTGAGGTGACCACGCTGTACAGGTCCCAAAACGCCCACCTGCATCCCAAGCCAGAGGTGAGTGCCAGCCTCGGGGCTGGGGTGGCGGTCCTAGGGATTGCAGAGACTTTCTGAATAGAGGTGAATGTCACAAACATGGCCTGGCTGCTGTGACTCAGTGAACAGAGCTCCGGCCTATGCACCAAAGGGTCACAGGTTGGATCCCTATACCCGGGTTGCAGGTTCATTCCTTGCAGGCGAACGTGTGCAGGAGGCAACCAATGTGTCTCTCACATCGCTGTTTCTCTCCCCCCACCTCCCTAAAAAGCAATGGGAAAAGTATATCCTCAGGTGATGATTAACCTGAAAGAAAGTCACAAACTCAAATTATACCTGTCTGTTTTATCTGGGATGTGGGTTTCTCCCTTCTTGCATGGAGGGATTAATTTCTGCTTTACCCAAAGCTTTTAGAATTACAGTTAAAACTAAAGCAAGAAGGTAAGTGCTTGGGCCTGGGCTGCTGTCCACACGTGAACTTTTCCCTTGCAGACAGTCCCCTTCAATGGCAGCGTCTTAGCCCTGTTTACCATGATATCCGATAGCCATCTGGTATCAAATGGGGGGGAGGGGGAGGGGGAGGCGCGTGACTTAAGAGCAAACCTTTTGATTCACGGCATATTCTTCCTCATGTTTTAACATTGAACCACCTTCTCCCTTAGGAACTCAAGGCCCTTGGCAAGTTCATCGAAGAAAGCCAGACCCTGTCCCCAGACACGAGAGATTTTGCGACAGGCCTTGTGACCAACGCTCTGCCGCTGCTGAGGACCGCGGGGCCCGGAGACGGCGGCCTGGCGGGCATGGTGACCGAGCTGGCCGTTCACACCGCCGCCACCCTCCTCTGCGGGCAGCACAGGGTCTTGGAGCCCCTCAGGAACTTGGCCTTCTCCCCAGACTCCATGGCGGTAAGACACCAGCCACGCGGGGACCCCAGGGTGGGCTTGTCATGCAGAGGCCCTGTCTGTGCAGGAGACTGTTGGACCCGTTTGTGTCCTTGAGCCCCCGTCTGCCCGCATCTCACCCGATCCCGATGCCCAGTGTGGGAGAACCAGGCCTCCCCCTGTTGCTTCACAGAGAGCTGTTATCTTTCTGCACAGACAGCTCCCGAGGCCTGGGAGAGGGGAAGCCAGGCCTCCTGCCATCTGCTGTGTCTAACGGTGGCTCTGATTTCTCTGTGTTTCAGAGGGCATTTCTCCCGACGATGCCCCAGGACATGCTGGCGCAGGCCAGGAGCTGGGAGGGTCTGGAACACGTCCAGTGGTACAGTATGTGTCCTGTCCCATGGTCCCAGTCCTCTGAGCTTTTTTTTTTTTTAAATATACTTTATTGATTTTTTACAGAGAGGAAGGGAGAGGGATAGAGAGTTAGAAACATCGATGAGAGAGAAACATCTATCATCTGCCTCCTGCACGCCCCCTACTGGGTATGTACCTGCAACCCAGGACCATGCCCTTGGCCGGAATCGAACCCGGGACCTTTCAGTCCGCAGGCCGACACTCTATCCGCTGAGCCACACCGGTCAGGGCAAGTCCTCTGAGCTTTGACGAGCTTCCTGGTGCCATGTGAGCCCTTGGCTCAGAGCAGGGACCCACATGGTTGGTGCCACATGGCGGGACAGGCATGGTGTGCAGAGTATAGATGAGCTTGCACCTTTCCTGGTCAGGCAAGGCCTGATGAGCTCCTGTTCCCTTCATCCTGCTTCCTGGAGAGCAGGGGACTGGGAGCCATGCCCGAGGCTCAGCCCCAACGCAGCCATGCGTGGGGCCCTAAGGCGGTTATCTTAGGAAAATGAAACTGGGAAACAGAGCAATATAGCCCATGGCTTTGTGAAGTCTGCGGGCTGAGTGAATAGTCCTTCAGGCTGGAAGGAAGCATGCTCAGGACAGAGAACCGGATCAGAGAGCGGACGTGTATAAAGTGTCGCCCACCTGCCTCCCCAGCAGCCCTGGCTCTGCGTGGAGGTGGCCTCTCCTGCTCCGGAGAGTTCAGTGCACAACTGGCTTCCCACGTGGTCCAAATGCCCACTCTCCTGACGGGGAGGGAGGGAGGGAGGACAGGCCCAGGACAGGGTTAGCCCTCCCTGTGCCCTGCGCAGGTCAGTGGGGGAAACCTTGCCAGTCAACGTGTGCCCTGCTCTTCTTTCCACAGTGTGTCCTAGAGGTCACCCGTGCAGTGTCGGGGAGGTGAGTTTGGGTGTTGGGAGCAGGGTTTCGGGGGCTCAAGAGACGTGTGTTCTTCGTGTCTGAGGGGAAATGGAGGAGTAGGAGGAGGAGAGTCTTGACCTCCCAGGGAACACAGGTGCCTCTGAGGGCTGCTCCAGGCTCCAACTGAACTTCTGCATGGAGCTGAGGGTGTCCAGTCAGACTCCAGTCTCAGTGCCTTGTGACTGTCTTTATCGGGGCATCCTGGGCAGCATCCCTAGCCCTGCTCCCCAGCTTCCAGGAGCACCCCGATTCCCCGGTGCATCACCCAGAGATGCTACAGGTCCCTGAGAGACAGCATGGCTGCAGGTTAGGAACCACCGCCAGCCACCCTCTGTGGCCCCGCAGCATGAGCTCAGGGACACGTGACGGCAAAGTGGTGACCGGCTCAGAAGCTGGTTACTAGCCCAGAGAGGAGAGGTGGGCAGAGAGGGGGCGAGGGGGAGGAGAGAGAGACGCATGGCTCTAAGCCCCAGTGCTGAGTAGGCCTGCCAGCCCTCTCCCCTCCCCCCCCCCACCATGGTGCCCATGCCCTGAGCTGACACCTGCCTCTCCCCAGTGCGGCCAGCCCATGGAGCAGAGTTTCTGTATCGACTGCCGTGCTCCTGTCGGAGGGCGGAACCACAAACCCAACGAAGGATTCACGGTCGTAAAGTACGTAAGGCTGTTTCCTTCTCACTCTCAGACCCTCTTCCCCCCACCGTGGGCTGTTTCTCTCCCACCTGATAAACTGACACGAAACAGGGATCACTACTGCAGTGCACGTGGGCCACTGACCGGCAGGGATCGGGCCACGGTCCCATGGTCATACACGGCGATGTACCAGATGTGCCATTGGCCACCTGGGCTCGGAAGGGCAGAGCAGAACACATATTAGTACTGTTATATGAGCGCCTGTTCATACAGGTGTCTCCCACGTGGGCCTGCCCAGGGCAAGCACCCACTGAGATATGTGTGACGTAGGCAGGTGATCTAATTCTGAGGACATTTCAGTCTGCAAAACCCACGGGACAGACACCATCTCACTGGTAAAGTCACTTGGCTCCCTCAAACCCCTCCCATCCCAAGAAAGCCTGGTCTCCCAACCTACCCTGCTCACCTGTCCAGACAGGAGTAAATGCTGCCTTGAGACAGGAGGCGGGCCTCTCCATGGTCATTGTCCTCCCTGGCTATTCTGGTGTAGCCACAGTTCAAAATATTCCAACCTGTTGTCTCAATAAACCATCAGAATGTTCTAGAACTGCCAACAGGTATTCAAAGTAATAGGTACAAATATGTGTCCCCAAAAATGTATACACACCTTGAATAATTATTTTTTTAATATACTTTTATTGATTTTACAGAGGAAGGGAGAGGGAGAGAGAAATAGAAACATCAACGTTGAGAGAGAATCGTTGATTGGCTGCCTTCTGCACTGGGGATTGAGCTCACAATCAGGGCCTGTGCCCTGATGGGGAATGGAACCCTGACCTCCTGGTTCATAGGTCAACACTCAACCACTGAGCCATGATGGTCGGGCTCACTTTGAGTGATTAGTAATTCCAATGGGTTAAATCTGAAAAGAAAGAAACATCAATTGAGATATCCGCTGTTAAAGCATGTGTACATTTTCTAGGGACACCCTATTTCTGCAACTGGACTTGTCTATCACACAGTACCTGCCATCTGGGCTTGGCCAGAACTCCTTCACCTGGCCTTGGTGCCAGTCTTTGATTTGGGAAAAGGAGACCGCTCTGCCCATGTCTCCATATCAATGTCGGCTGCCCCAGACTCTGGCTGTCCTGAGCCCGCCTTCTGTCCCATGTGATTGCAGCGGAAGAAGCAGGTCCAGCCGTTCATGTTGAGGGGTGGCCCCTGGACAGCACTGAATGCTGCTTCTTTCAGCCCCTTTTCCCTGAGAATGTTGTGGCTGCAGGACAGCCAGGAGGGTGGTTCTAGGAAGAGAAAGGCTCTTGGGAAAGTGGTCTGGGCTTAGCAGAAGAGGTGCTTTTAACATTATTCTTTTCCCCAAACATGAATCCGGTCTTCAGGCCCCCAGGACCTAGGTGTGTCCCTGAGCTGAGAAGAGATGACCTTTGCCCTCACTGGGCCTCTCCTACTCTTTCCAGAAACAAGGAAGACAGAACACAGACTGGCCACGTGCTGGGAAGCCCACCCCCCAGTGATGAGGTGGTGCTTTCTGACCGAGAGCTGTCCCCGGTGGTCTTTCTTCTCGCCCGGCTCCTCACTCACCTGGCTATGCTTTTGGGTGCAGCCCACAGCCCCAAGGTACCTGCAGGGATGTCCAGCTCTGTGTTCTGTCCTGCAGCCCTGTGTGCCCTACTGTTTCACAGGGCCTAGCCCCTCCTGTGTGTTTCGGATTTGTCTTTCTACCGAATCCATCAGGTAACACAAAGTTTACACACCCTGACTCTGCCCAAGGCAGCATCTGGTGGGATGGAGAAGTGCTCACCAGCCTTTATCAAGTCCATTTTATTTTCAGTACTAGAGGCCCAGTGCACGAATTCGTGCACCAGTGGAGTCCCTCAGCCTGGCCTGCTGGATCGGGCCAAAACTGGCTCTCCAACATCCCCCAAGGGGTGCCAGTTTTCGAGAGGGATCAGGCCAGGCTGAGGGACCCCACCGGTGCACAATTAGGGCCAGGGAGGGATGCGGGAGGTTGGCCAGCCAGGGAGGGACCGCGGGAGGGCTCCAGGGCATATCCAGCCCGTCTCGCTCAGTCCCAATTGGCCGGACCCCAGCAGCAAGCTAACTTACCAGAAGAAGCATCTGCCCCCTGGTGGTCAGTGCACATCATAGTGAGCGGTTGAGCAGTCTTACCATATCATTAGCATATTACACTTTGATTGGTTGAATGGCCGACCGAACAACCAGACACTTAGCATATTAGGCTTTTATTATATAGGATATTTTTATTGATTTCAAAGAGGTAGGGAGATGGAGAGAGAGATAGAAACATCAATGATGAGAGAATCATTGATCGGCTGTCTCCTGCACACCCGCTACTGGGGATTGAGCCTGCAACTTAGCCATGTGCCTTTGACCGGAATCGAACTGGGACCCTCCAGTCCGCAGGCCAACGCTCTATCCACTGAGCTACATTGGCTAGGGCTGAAGTCCATTTTCAGTGACTGGCGCCATCCACACCTGAGTGTGGAGAGGTTGACGCACTCACAGTCTTTCCGTGTCTGGGCTTTTGGGCCGGAAGAGTGGCCTGTCCTCTGAGTTACTGAACCACGAGAGCAGTGAGACCTGGCTCTGAGGAGCCCTGTTTCCCTCCCATGATCATGGAGCCCCCTTGTCTGCTACTCCACCTTCCTGCCTCCTCTTTGAGAACCACCTCCTTGAGAACCACCTCCTGACTCAGAGCTGGTGTTTTCCTCCTGGCCCCACACACCGCCTGTCTGATGCACTCTCCCCACCCATCTCAGGCTCTGATTGACATCATCAAGCCCGCAGTGAGGGATCCAAGTGCGTTCCTCCAGCAGCACATCCAGAGGGACCTGCAGCAGCTGATGCAGATGCTGGGCAAGAGCGCTGATGATACGGCCCAGGTGGCGCACCTCGTCCTGTGCATCCTGTTCAAGCAGCAGCCCCTTTTACCCAAGAGTAAGGGACTGGGGCGAGGGGTGCCTGCGGAGGCCCTGGGGCACAGAATGCAGGGCCTGGGGGAGACAGAAGGGTGGCAATGGGCACGGTGGGAGCAGTGTGCCTGCCAGCGGAGGGACAGACTCATCTGTCCTTTCCAAGCTCTTTGCTGGGTGAAGACCTGCGAGAGTCTGGTCATTAGCAGAGAGGGGGTATGTGGGGAGGCTTTGCAGTCTCCAATGTCAGAAATTGATGCATCTTCACAGAGAACATGGGGGGGGGGGGGGTAACAGCAGGAGCCATTTTTTAAAATATATTTTATTGACTAGAGGCCTGGTGCACAAAAATTTGTGCACTCGGGAGGGGGGTGTCCCTCAGCCTGGCCTGCGCCCATTCACAGTCCAGGACCCCTTGGGGGATGTCCACCTGTTGACTTAGACCCACTCCCCAGGGGATCAGGACTAAGCTTGCAGTCAGATATCCTTCTGGCAGCCAGGGAGCCCTCTGGGGATGTCCGACTAAAGGCTTAGGTCCCCAAGGGATCTGGCCTAAACCATTAGTTGGACATTCTTAGTGCTGCCACAGAGGTGGGAGAGGCTCCTGCCACCACCACTGTGCTGGCCAGCCATGAGCCAGCATCTGGCTGAGTGGCACTCCCCATATGGAAGTGCACTGACCACCAGGGGGCAGCTCCTGCATTGAGCATCTGCCCCCTGGTGGCCAGTGTGCATCATAGCAACCAGCCATTCTGCCATTCAGCAGAGGGCCAGTGCACAAAAATTTCAGCCAGCCTGTGCCCTCTCGCATTCTGGGACCCCTCAGGGGATGACCACCCGCTGGCTTAGGCCTGCTCCTCGGGGGATTGGGCCTAAGCTGACAATCAGACATCCCTCTGGAAGCCCAGCAGCCCTCAGGGGATGTCCACTTGCCAGCGGGGAGCAGGCCTAAGCTGCAGTCAGACATCCTTAGTGCTGCTGAGGCAGGAGAGGCTCCCACCACCACCGCTGTACTGGCAGCCATCAGCCTGACTTGTGGCTGAGCAGAGCTCCCCCATGTGGGAGCGCACTGACCACCAGAGGGCAGCTCCTGCATTGAGCGTCTGCCCCCTGGTGGTCAGTGTGTGTCATAGTGACCAGTCATCCCCAGTCTTTCTGCTGTTAGGGTCAGTTTGCATATTACCCTTTTACTATATAGGATAGAGTCCTGGTGCACAGGTGGGGGCCAGCTGGTTTGCCCTAAAGAGTGTCCCGGATCAGGGTGGAGGTCCCGCTTGGGTGCCTGGCCAGCCTGGGTGAGGGGCTGATGGCTGTTTGCAGCTGGTCACACACCCTTCCGTGTGGGGTCCCCACTGGGGTGCCTGGCCAGTCTGGATGAGGGGCTGAGGGCTGTTTTCAGGCTGGCCAAGCCGGCGACTGAAGCTCCCAGCCTCTCCTTTTTTTCTTTTTTTTTTATTCTGGGATTTATTTACCGTCTATAATTGCCACTCCAGCTCTGAGGCCACGGCCTGCTGAAAGCAGGTATCTGGGGTTTGTTTAGCTTCTATAATTGAAACATTGTTGCTTCCGGAGCTCAGAGCAGGGCCGCGGCACATGGGGAACCTTGGCTTCCTCCATCACTGGAGCAAGCAAGCCTCCTGCTCGCTTTAGCTGAGTGGCTGCCGGCCGCCATCTTAGTTGGGTTAATTTGCATATCCTGCTGATTAGCCAATGGGAAGCATAGCAGAGGTAGGGTCAATTATCATGTTTGTCTATTATTAGATTAGATACTAGTAGCCCGGTGCATGGAATTTGTGCACATTAAAAGGGAATTAATTGCCCTAACCGGTTGGGCTCAGTGAATAGAGCATCAGCCTGTGGACTGAAGGGTCCCAGGTTCGATTCCGGTCAAGAGCATGTAACTTGGTTGTGGGCACATACCCAGTAGGGGTTGTGCAGGAGGCAGCTGATCGATGTTTCTCTCTCATCGATGTTTCTAACTCTCTATCCCTCTCCCTTCCTCTCTGTAAAAAATCAATAAAATATATTTTTTAAAGGGAATTAATTAGAAGAGATATTTTAATATTGCTATTTGCCCTTTATAATAGAAGTGTGAGAGATGAAAGGAAATTAGTAAAATGTATATGAAAATCATATATAAATTTATTAATAAATAAACAGTAAAAAAAAGGATATAACAACAACAGAGGCATGATATAAAAACAACAAAAATATGATATGAAAACAACAAAAACAGGATATGAAAACAACAGTGATGGAAACAAGGACTGATAAAGTGATTAAACTTATTCTAATATCTCCCTGTACACCACATTAAGAGTGAAAACCCTTTCAGAGTGCTTGACTAACTTCCCTTTTGATGAAGTACTTAGAACTTTAACTGTAACATCACATGCTCTTCAAACTTGAGAGAAAGCAACATATAACTGACCACGTGAGAAAATGGGTTCAGATAGGAATATTCCTACTCTGTCTAGAGTTTGTCCTTGTGATTTATTAATAGTCATCACAAATGCTGGCATCACGGGAAACCGTCGTCGAATCAATTTAAATGGAAGGCCAGTGTCAGATGGGGACAAATTAATTCTTGGAATCAGAACAGCCTCTCCCTCTGCAGATCCTGTTAATACTTCAGCTTCGATAATGTTAGGTTGTAATCTTTTGATAATAAATCTGGTACCATTACAAAGACCCCATTTACTATTAAGATTTCTCAATAGCATGATGATTGCACCCACTTTCAATTTTAACTTATGACACGGCATTCCCGAAGGAGTAATACTATTCAGAAATTGGACGGGGAAATTTTCCTTTGTTTCATTGTTATGGGGTGGGGCTAAATTAGTAACAAAGAAACAGAATTAAAACTTTATTGTGGGGAGCCAATACAGTGTTTTGGACAGGTTCAAGCCTTGGACTGATGAGAGGACACAGTCCTCTCATTGCCACGTGCAAGTCCCAGCTTGGGGGGCAGGGCCCTCCCAGCACAATTATAGCCAAGAGCTGTAGTTGTAAGCTTGAACCTATGATCCGAACACGTGGCCCCACGTGCCTGAGTGATGTGGGCTTGATAGAGTTCAGGTGCATGTAGTTGAGTAGGATTGAAACCCAGGAGAATGTTTGTAAACATCTTGGTCAGGCCCTTACTTTGCCTCGTAGCATCTGCTATAAACTAAAGGCACGGCTGTGGGCCTGGTCACTGTCTCTCAGAGAAGCAGTGTCCCACCGAGACCCGGCTTTCATTCTTTTGTCTGTCTTTTCTAAGCCTTTCAGCTGCCCCACTCGGGTTCATCCCGTGCTGGCGCAGCTCACTTTAGAAAGATCTGCCTCCACACTCCTAGGGCAGGTTCCTGCCTCAAACCCTGCCCTTACAGGAAACAGCTCCGGGAAACAGCTTGGGGGAGGGCACAGCTGTTGCCAAGACAACCCTGCAGGACTGACTTCCTTCCTCTGGTCATTGTTCCTTTGTATGTGACGAACACCACCCACCGTTTTTATATAAGTAGATAGGATGTCCCTATTTCCCCCCTTCTGCCCCCTCCGCCCAGCTCTTGCCCCCCACTTCTCTCTGGCCATCACCATACTGTTGTCTGTGTCCATGGGTTGTGCATATATTTTCTTTGGCTAATCCCTTCTTTAAATTCACTTCTTCAAATTTTTATTTTCAGATAAGTGCTTATAACTGCACTATTATATATTTTCTATTATATCATTTAGAATTAAGATATTTTTGAATTGAACCCTTGTAAATTTTAGCACAATTTAATAAATTATGCTAGAAGCAATTAAGAGATTTTTCATGTAATGCATACACATTTCAATTAATGTTTTATTAATTTTTAATTTTTTAATATTTTAATTTGAAATAATCTCATACATGTAAAAAAAACTATAAAATACTACAGCATATTATATGTACCCTTCACCCAATTTCTTAGGTGTTAATAATTTAAACATAACCATTATACAACTAACAAAATTTGGAATATGTTTTTCTTATAATCTCTTTAATGTTACTTAATCCATTTACTTTGTTTTTGTTAATCTTCACCCAAGGATATTTTTCCATTGAATTTTAGAGAGAGTGAAGGGAAAGGGAGAGACACATTGATTGGTTGCCTCCTGCACATGCTCTGATAGGGACTGGGGATCAAGCCAGCAACTGAGGTACATGCCCTTGAGTGGAATCAAACCTGGGACCCTTCAGTCCACGGGCTAATGCTCTATCCACTGAGCAAAACAGGCTGCAGCTTAGTTCATTTACTTTTAATCTTTATGTGTCTTTATATTTAAAGTGGGTTTTGTTTTTGATTCACCCTCATAATCTGTCTTTTAATTGGTGCATTTATGCCACTGGCTTTCAGAGTGCTTACTGATGGAGTTATTACCATATCAGGCAGCTTCTGGGGCTTCTGGGGCTGGCCAGCGGCCTGGAATTGAATCCGATCATGGACGGCAGGCAGACAGCTTCTGGGGTCGCCCACGGGGGCCTGGATGGCTGTCCTGCCCTGCCTGCAGTATGAAAATTAGCCACCATCTTTGTTGGCGGTTAATTTGCATATCTCACTGATTAGCCAATGGGAGGCATAGCGAAGGTATGGTCAATTACCATGTTTGTCTATTATTAGATAAGATTTTTTTTTTTTTTACAGAGAGGAAGGGAGAGGGATAGAGAGTTAGAAACATCGATGAGAGAGAAACATTGATCAGTTGCCTCCTGCACACTCCCTACTGGGGATGTGCCCGCAACCCAGGTACATGCCCTTGACAGGAATTGAACCCGGGACCCTTGAGTCCGAAGGCTGATGCTCTGTCCACTGAGCCAAATGGTTAGGACAGGAGCCATTTTTTTAATACTCTGGTTAATTTAGAAGATACCCACACCCCCCTGAAAAAGGAACATTATTTCAGTTTAACACTCATTCAGGTTCACTATATGTAGACGGCTGCGGGTTTTGTTCCTTGGGGAACCCACACATTTTTCTTTGTAGGGTTTTTCAATTTTAATGAAAACTTGTCAACCAAAGAAGAGAGAAATTCCTGGGAAAAACTCTTGGAGGCCATCATGCTGCCCGAACTGGAGGTGCGTGAAGAGGGGCAACAGGTCTGGGGGGAGGGCTTCCTGGGAAGTCGCTGGGTTCAGCCCATGTGCCTTAGCAAAGGTGGCCAGAGCCCTCGGCCAATCTCAGATCCAGCTGTGCCAGCCCAGGTCACCCCTGCCTGCCATCCGACCTCTCCCTCCCTCGCCCGTGGTGCATCGGGGGAGGAACAGCTGGAGCCCAGAAGGTGCGGGGCATAGTTTTCTCTCCGTTTCATTTCACAGCAGATTGTGAAAGCAAGAGGCAGAGACGTAAACGACCACACATAGACCCGCCCCCAGTGTGTACTAAGGACCATAGGTCAACTACTCCTAGTCAGACAAGGATGCTCCTCAGAGTAACAAAGCCCATCAGGAAATAAGCCTCAGCGAGTAACAGGGTGGGAGGAAGGTGTAGGCCCGAGTCTCATGCCATCTGGGCAGACAAAACCATACAGAATTGGGATGAAAGTTAACCAACATGGATATTTGATTATGTGTCAAATGAGCAGGTCGGCCTAGACGGTTTGGCTCAGTGGTTAGAGTGTCAGCCCTTGGACTGAAGGGTCCCAGCTTCAGTTCCCATCAAGGGCATGTGCCTCAGTTGTAGTCTTGATCACCAGTGCTGGTCAGGGCACATGTGTGAGGCCACCAACCCATGTGTCTCTCTCACATCCATGTATCTCTCTGTCTCTCCCCCACCTTCCACTTTCAATGGAAAAAATATTGTCGGGTGAGGATTAACAAACAAAAAAATAAAATGAGCAGGTCAGGCTCCTGCTCATTCGCCCACGGCCCCGTCCTAGGTGACCCCATCTGTCCACAGTGTGCCTCATACCCAGCGCCTGGTATCATTTGCCCCATGTAGCATCTGGATAAAACCCTCCTAGAGGTGAACAATCTCGTCAGCCGCGACAAGCATGTCCAATCCAACCTGGTGGCCAGGATCGTGTTCGAGGACCCGGCCACCTTCCTGCACCGCCTGCCCCGGGGCAGCGCAGTCCACTGCTCAAAGATGTGGAGCTGCCGCACCAGGATCACTGTGGAGCACCTCCGGCACGTCGTGGAGCAGAAAAACGGCCAGGAGACTGTGCCAGTCCTCTGGAGGTTCCTGCAGAAGGTGGGCACCTGGCAGGGACCATCTGCCTATTCCCCTTCGAGCCTGAGGCATGGTTAGAAGACAGCCTGATCTTCCCTAAGGGTGGGCACCGGGAACCCTGCTTCAGGGTTGGATCCTGACCCAGCTATCTGCAGCAGAGGACAAAGGGGAGGGTGGTGTGAACTTAACTCACAGAGGAATCATGCACGAGGTGGAATTAGTGGGAATCTGCAAAGACCTGGGGAGCAAGAAAGAACAGGCTATGAGTCTCGCCTGGCCATGTCCGGCCACCTCCATCCCCCCAGCGCCTGGGGCAGTTGGTCATCCATGCATGTCTGTTGAATGAAAAATTCCAGTCTAAAGTCAAACAAAATCTCACCGTTCCTGAACTGTTTGGGTTTACAGCACAAGGGGCATTTAGGGATGGTCGTATCCTTAGAACCAGAAACACACACTGCTCTTAGTTCAGTGCCCGGGACTTGCATTTTCTACAGTAGACATCCCAGTTGTTTCCCTCCACGGAGCAGTGTTTGCAGCTTAGCAAGAGTCCCAGAGAGCGAGCTCACAGCAGAGGGGCTTCATGTTAAGGCCCTGCTCTGTCCCTGGGAAGGTGCTCAGGCCAGGTCCTCAGCATGGCACCCCGGGGTGAGGCAGGCACCCCGCCTGGGCTCCAGGTCCTGGGCTCTGGGCTGCTCCTCTCCACACCCAGCCCATCCCCTGGGCCCTAGACCAGTGATGGCGAACCTTTTGAGCTCAGCGTGTCAGCATTTTGAAAAACCCTAACTTAACTCTGGTGCCGTGTCACATATAGAAATTTTTTGATATTTGCAACCATAGTATAAAAAAGATTTATTTTGATATTTATTTTTTATATTTAAATGCCATTTAACAAAGAAAAATCAACCAAAAAAATGAGTTTGCGTGTCACCTCTGACACACATGTCATAGGTTCGCCATCACTGGAATAGAGGCTGATATGTGGGCCTGTGAGACAGGGGCTTTGTCTACTCCACTGCCTCCAGAGTGTAGAACGTGCTGACACATGGCGAACCGCCAGGAGCTGCTTGCTGAAGGCATGGAACAGCCTTTTCCCCATTTCCAAGGCTCACACAAAATGCCACTCTGGCCCTGGCCAGGTTTTCTCAGTGGTTAGAGTGTCATGGGTTCAAATACTGGTCAAGAGCACACACCTCAGTTGCAGCTCCATCTCCCCCCTGGGTTAGGGTGTGTAGCTAACACATCCATGTTTCTCTCTCTCTCCCTCCCTTCTTTCCTCTCTCTCTATAAATCAATGGCAAATATTCTCGAGTGAAAATTTTTTTTAAAAAAGCCACGTTGACTGGATGAAAATACAAACACACGCCATGAGCCAGCCCCACGGCCTCTGTTCCCAGTGGCACTTTCTGGGCAGAAGAGGGATGTGATGGGTCGGTCTTCCCTCCCCAGGAAGCAGAGCTGAGACTGGTGAAGTTCTTGCCTGAGATTCTGGCCCTGCAGAGGGATCTGGTGGAACGATTCCAGAATGTTCCAGAAGCTGAGTACCAGTCCATCAGAGGTTTCATTGACAGTCACAGCTCAGGTAGGACTCTCCCGTCACAGGAGGTCAGGACACCTGTGTCTGGTGGCTCAAGGGTCATTCCAACTGGGGGTGGGGGCAGTTCTGGGCCCGCGGGCACTTTTCGCAGGAGAATGGGCTGCCATGAACCCCGGGACACGGCGAAGGCTTTGCTGCAGCCTCACTCCAGCTCCCCACACTGGGCCGCCATGCTCCCAAGGCAGCAGCATTTGGTGAGCGGGTGTAGGGCCAGCGCAATGTCCTGGCGGGTCTGACCTGCACAGTGGGGGTGTTTGGCAGGGGGCCTGAAGCAGCTGCTCCACAGCCGCATCACGATGTTTCTGTCCACGTGGAACAAGCTGAGGAGGTCTCTGGAGACTCGCGGTGAGTGCACGCTCCCCTTCAACGCAAAAGGCCACAGGAGGACCCGTCCTCATGGCCCTGCCTGCAGTCCCCTCTCCACACAGCACCACCTGCGTCTGGGTGGAGGGGTCTGGGATGGTGAAACCACACAGCTGGAAAATCCACCCTCTGGCCTGGCTGGCTTGGCTCAGTGGTTGAGCGTCAACCTATGAACCAGGAGGTCACAGTTCAATTCCGGGTCAGGGCACGGGCCCTGGTTGTGGGCTCTGTCCCCAGTGTGGGGCGTGCAGGAGGCTGCTGATCAATGATTGATGTGTAAATCTCATTGATATTTACTCTCTTCTCTCCCTTCCTCTCTGAAATCAATAAAAAAGAAAAAAGAAAATCCACCCTCAGTCCTCTTGGGTCTGTACATGTGCCAACAAAAGGGACTTGGGAGCTCTGGGGACAGTGGCACCTGGAGAACGGGAGGGGGACCTCAGTCCCTGGGCGCTGCTCAGGCTTGGGGTCCCTGCTGCTGCTCCTGCGGGGCCTCCGGGCCTGATGCCCTGCAGGAAGCGGCTCAGAGCAGCTGCTGGAAAACAGCCTGTCCTTTAAAGGGGAGATCAAGCTGCCTGCAGACTACTGCTGTGCCGACCGGGACCTGGACACAGAGTTTGAGGTCATTCTGCCCCGTCGCCAGGGCCTGGGCCTCTGCGCCACAGCACTGGTCAGCTACCTGATCGGCCTGCACAACGAGATGGTCTATGCGGTGGAGAAGTTCTCCAAGGAGGAGCACAGGTGAGGGCATGCCCGGGGGTCCTGCCCTCTCAGCCCAGGGAGGCGTTTCTGAGCCCTGGGGGCAGGGTCCGCAGGCCAAGTCAGCTCTCTGGCAAAAGCAGGTCCAGCCCCGCCCTCAAGTGTTACAGGCCTCTGCGCGGTGTCCTCTGCTCCGGCCGGGAGCAGCACGCTGGACCGCCCCGAGCGCCGTCTTCCATCCGCAGCTACTCCGTGGACGCCTCCGAGGTGGCCGACCTGCACGTCATCAGCTACGAGGTGGAGCGGGACCTGACCCCGCTGATCCTCTCCAACTGCCAGTACCAAGTGGTGCAGGGCGGCGAGAGCCTGCAGGAGCTGGACCTGGAGCGGATCCAGCGCCAGGTCATCGGCCGCTTCCTCCAGGGCAAACCCAGGCTGAGACTTAGGGGCCTCCCCACGCTGGTGTACAGGCAAGACTGGAACTATGAGCACCTGTTCGCCGCCATCCGGAGCAGGATGCCCCAGGTGAGCACTGTGCCTCTCTCACTGGGGGCTCCCTTCACACAGGCCACTCCCACACCAGGCGTTTCCTTCCCTAAGCCCACCCACCGCTCCTTCCGGAGGACAGGCGGGGCCGGGTGGCGGGCACACACGCTTTCTCCTGGAGCATGGCAGATGGCAGTCTCGTGGTCCCGGTGTCATGGCCATGTGTGCCGATGCGGAAGGCCAGAGAACTCTGTTTGTGGCGGGTGCATGTTGAGTGTGTGCATGTGTGTGCGTGTTAAATGTATGTGTGGAGTGTGTGTGCATGTGTCTGTGTGCACATCCTCACAAGTGGCTCTGAAGGTCCGGTGAGTCCCCATCTGTGACTAGGAAATAGCCGACACTTAGGAAGCACAGCGCTCCTCCCAGCCTGTGACCTGGGCGGTGGAGGTCAGCAGCCTTACCAGGCCTCCATGCACCCCTGCCCACGGACCCCTGTGCTGCTTCCCATTTCCAGAGCCCCCTCCCCCACTCGGCCACCAGCGCCCTGGGCAGGCAGCTGCAGTCCCACAGCGACACCTGCGAAGCTCTGTCCCTCGTGGAAGTCACGCTGGGGTTTCTGAGCACAGCTGGCGAGGACCCGAACATGGACCTGAACGTGTACCTGCAGGACAAGCTGCGCATGGGCGACCAGACCGAGCAGGTGGTAAAGGTGGGTCTCAAAGGAGACCAGCTCTACCCCCACCCCCCCATCCTGTCCTCACTTCCTGAGGGCACAGCGAGCAGGTCAGTCTAGCGGGCAAGTCTAGCAGTCCCTCCCCGGCCAGCCCGCCTAGACACAGAACAGACCCTGAGGTCGAGGGTGTGCTGGGAAGGGAAGACTACGCGCAGCAGCCAGGGCGGCAGTGGTGACCAAGGACAACGCACCTGCCCACTGGTCCTGGCTGGGGCTGACGTGCTGTGTAGGAGCCTCTCACTCAGAGAGGCAGGGACTCAGCACTGGAGCCCAAGGTGGAGGGAGAGGAGACACAGGCACCACCTGCAGGAACCACTTCCTCTCGCAGGCCTTACACCGATGTCAGCTCCAGCACATCATCGCCCTCTGGCAGCTCCTCTCAGCCCACAAGTCTGAGCAGCTGCTGCGCCTGCAGAAAGTAAGTCCCGCCTCCTGATGTCCACTTGACACTTACTTCCTGGGCCTCCCTCACCTGTGCCTCCTTCGCTGCAGGAGCCCTTCAGGGAGATCAGTGCCAAGTACCGAGTGGAACTCAGCCCGGAAAGCACCAAGCACCTGCACACATTCCTGAACCAGAGCTCCCTGGACACCTTCCTCCTGGAGCTCCACGAAATGATCCTCTTGAAACTGAAGAACCCCCAAACCGAGGCCACCTTCAACCCCGACTGGAGGTAGGGCTGGTGCACCTGCCGGCCAGGCACCCTCGCACCATCATTCCTGCGAACCTCCAGTTCCTGTCTTACCTGCAGTTCCCATTGCCAGGGTCCCTGAGGACTGGCTTTGGGGGTGTCAGTCTCTAGTGCAGGGGTGGGAACAGCTGGCCCATGGGCCGTAAAACGCCTGCGAAATCATTTGGTGTGGTCCTGTAAAGGCATTAGGGGTGAGTAAATGTTTGACCAAATATAACAGGCTAATTTTTAAGTTGAGAATTTGGAATGGCCTGTGAATGCTGTTATAAATATCCAAATGGCCCTTGGCAGAAAAAAGGTTCCCACCCCTGCTCTATAGGATCTTTTTGAATAATTACAAAAGTCATATTCTCAGTATAGCAACTGGACTTACTTGTCAAAGAGGTGTTCATTTTAACTGTCATTATGTTGTTGCTGTACTTATTTATGCATTCACTGATTGACTTTTTAGATTTATCTTTATAGTTGAAAGTATTACAAATGTCACCTTTCTCCCCCATTAACCCCTTCTAATCCACTCCCACCCCCACATTTTAACTCATAGAAAAAGCTACACCCATGCATAGTGTGAGAATACATACACTAATATTATTCGTCTTTTACATTTTCACCAACCTAATGGCCAGAAAATGCTGTCCCATGTCCACTCACAGTTCCCTATTCACTAGTAAGGCTGAAAATATTTTTTGTTTATCAGCCATTTGTATATTTCCTCTTAATTATCTCTTGATACCCTTTGATTATTTGGGGGGGGCTGTTTATTTTTTTTCTTAGTCTTAAAATATTAGAATTAACCTTTTATCCATTATGTTACAAATGCTCTTTATTAAAATATGTTTTCATTGATCTCAGAGAAGGGAGAGGGAAGGAGAGAGAGAAACATCAATGATGAGAGAGAATCATTGATTGGCTGCCTCCTGCACACCCCCTACTGGGGATCTTGCCCACAACTCCAGCCTATGCCCTGACCTGGAATCGAACCCTGACCTTGGTGTTGAAATTTATGAGGCCAAAGCTGACAGAATTTTTCTATGGAGCTTCCATGGGGACATAGAGTGATAAGGGCCTCCCTGATCCCGAGGCTATAAGATAGTCCAGAGAGTTTTCTTCTTGTGCTTCTAGAGTTTTATGTTGTACACTAGGAGCCCAGTGCATGAATTCGTGCACCTTGAAAGTAACTGTGGGCCATGAGGCTATGGTGGGTATAGGGGCAGGTCTCAGCCCATACTCCGGTTCCCCCACCCGGCCCCTCCCACCGTGGCCCCTGGTCCTCTGTCTGCCAGCAGCCCTGCTCCTGCCACTGCCACTTCCACATTCTGACAGTGTTGATCCTGCTTGCAACTGCTCATGGCGCAGAGCAATTGGTACAGGTGCCAGCAGCGGGTTCGAGCGGAGGCTGCTGCCCCAATTGCCCCTCGGGAGCAGGGGGAGGTGGAGAAGCCCTGAGGGGCAATCGAGGGCGGCAACCACCGCTAACACCCACTGACGGCGCCAAGAGATGGAACTGGTGCCGGGCGCCTGCAGCGAGTGCGAGTGTGAGTGGGGCCAGTGCCAGCATCAGGTGTGAGCAGTGGGCAGGACCACGGTGCATGGGAGCAAAGAATTTTCAGTAACCACCAGAGGCTTTCCCCGGTGACAGTGATCAGCACCCCACCTTGGTCTGGCAACCCCGCTCACCTGCTCCATCCCACTGCAGCTCATGCCCGCCATGTTCTGTGCACACCCCCTGGTGGTCAGCGCACATCATAGTGACCTGTTGTTTGGTTGTTCGATTGTTCCGCATTTAGGTCTGTTTGCTTATTAGGTTTTTATATATATAGATTATGTTGTAACCAGTTTATTGCTATGTGTGGTGTATGAGGTAGGGATTTAACTTTTCTGGTTTTCTAAATAGAAGTCAAACTCCAGTCCCCTCTCTAACAGTGCAAAGTCTCTATTTTCCCCTATTATGCTGTGTAGCATATACCTGTATACATTTCTATCTTTGGATTTTTTAACCCTCTCCTGAGAATGTTTATTGATTTTTTTTTTAGAGAGAGAAAGAGAGAGAGGTGAGAGAGAAACATCAATTGGTTGCCTCCCTTATACATCCTGATTGGGGATCAAGCCCACAACCTGGGTATGTACCCTGACTGGGGATCAGACCCGAGACCTTTTGGTGCTTGGGACAACGCTCCAACAAACTGAGCCACACCAGCCAGGGCCATGTCTTTGGATTTTTTAACAAGCCCTTGCTCCCCTGGGTTTTGGGTGTAGGGAAAGGAGCCCATTCCTGGGGAACCTAGATGCTTGTTCACACAGAATGGCAGGCTTCCCTTTCTATCCAGCAGGTCACACAGTTAGAGGGGCCTCCACCAGGCGCTCCTTCCTGCAGGGCTTGTGCAGCACATGGGAGGCAGCGGGTGCACACCAGAACCTCCAGCGGGGCTCCTGGTCCCAGGGGACCCACTGGCCTAGGGTGGCCTATGGCTGTCCCCCGGCCTTTCTGGTTGAGGGAGCGCTGGTTCTGCCAGTGGCTGGGAGGGGTGCCCACGGAGGCGTATCCAAGGTTGTCTGGAATATGTTCTAAATGCCGTCCCCTGTTCCTTGGTCTTTCAGCCTGAGAGACACTCTAGTCAGTTACATGGAGACTAGCAGGGATGACGTTCTCCCCGAGATGGAGTCTCTGTTCCCGGAGGAGATACTGCTCTGCCACTGCATCTCCGCGTGGAAAACAGCAGCCGAGCTGAAATGGGCACGACAGACGAGATAGAGCCACTGCCTGCGCACCACTCTACTCCTCCCCCACCCATGGCTGGCGCTGGGACTAGGCCTCAGGACCTGAGCCCCACACTCTCCAGGTGGTGACCACTGGTCCCTGAGGTGGGACGGAGCAGGACACGGGCCTCACGTTCCAGGGGAGCAGATGGGAACAGTCTGTCTCAGGCCTCTAGGCCCCTGATGGTCACATCCCCAGCCACCAGGCCCTTCCTCTGACTACATGTCAGAGCGGGGGAAATGGCGTTACACATTTTTGTTTTTTTTCCTAATATGTTTTGCACTCGTGGAAGAGAATCTGGCTTCCTTCCTTCCTCCTTTCCTGCTGAGTTCTTGCTTACACTAACCACTCTGGGGTAATTAGAGAAAGTTTAAGTCAGTTAAGGAAACGGCTGGCGGACAGAGAAGAGGCCAGTAAGGCAGAGGGGAACTGGTATGAGAATCTGTTCTCCTGGTCCCCCTGGCTCACAACCCTCCTATCCACTGTGGCAGGGCCCCTCCTCTCTGTCAAACTCATGGTCCTGCACACCCAGTACTCTCAGCTAGTAGATACTAGCGACGAGTCCAGGGTCTGAATTCATCTCCTAAGACCAGTAGAGAGTGTGATGAATTGAACGTCAGTAGAAAATTTTCAAATCTGTTCCCCAGCTGTGCCCCAGTTAGAGTTCTCTGTAAACTGACAAGAGATCAAGGATGTGGTCAAGGTTGGGTAACCAGACATAACACCAAGTTTCCTACTTCCTGACATCTGTGCGTCAAGGCCCTGATTAGACCCTTGCAACTGTACCCAAGGACGTTTGTGGTTTCTGTGAATCAAAGCTTGCCTAGCACCAAGGTCGGGGCTGCTGCAGGAGGAGAGCTCCCTGCGTGGAGACGCCTGTGGCAGTCGCTGGCCAGCTCAATAAACCCTCGCTTGCTGCTTAAGACCTAACTGGAGTCGGTGGTCTTACTCTCGCGAATGTTGGTCCATAACAGAATTGCCTGAACCTGGGAATAACTGAAAGAGCTCACGGGGGGGGGGGGGGGAAGGGATGGGTGGCGGGGGGGGCGGGGAGATGGGGAGAGAAGAAATAGCTCATGACTGTCAATTAACTGATGAAATCCCATAACCCGTGAGGAAAGATACATGGCTGGCATGCCCAAGGAGGTAAGGTCTTACAGAGAAGGGCCACAAGCAGAAGGGCTGTGCAGCAGGGAGATGCCCAGACAACGGAATGAGAGAGCAGAAGGTGAGGAGGAATCAGAGGACTGGCGGTGGTGCAGGCATGGATTTCTGGGTGAGCCTGCTGTTGTGCACAAAAAGGGACCACATGCTAACATGACAGCCCCAGGGAGGGCTGTGTGGTGGCCTTGCAAACTCAGAGACCTAAAGTAACCATGAAGGATGGTCTGAAATTAAAACTTTACCTAAAAGCAGTTATGGTGGGTAGTCACGTCCTAGGCTGGTATCTTCCCTGACAAAGGTCCATCTTTACCTTAACTGAGCCTACTGTCTTTTTGCATCTATGATAACATATTGTTGGAATGTCAAATTAATTTTCCTTTCTCCGGACCTCCTCAAAGCATAGGCACCACTCTGCGAAGACCACAAATACCCTCATTATTATTAATTGCTGACTGCTAACCATTCTGCACCCACCTGTGTAAAAGAAGCAGGTGTCTATCATTTACTTTTTATCCAATCCCAGAGGTTTCCCCACTTTGCTTTCTCCCACCTCCCTAACCTATCACCAATGGATTTCATGTAACCCCCTTACATCTTCTCTTTTGATTGTAATGTATAAAATAAGGTAAAAAATTGCCATTCTCCAGAGCATTATCCTCATATATTGAGGTTCTGCTTCCCGGCAATTGACAGTTTGGCTCAAATAAACTCACTAACATTCTTCAGAGGTTTAAATGTTCTTACAGTGACATTGTAGTTCCAGGCCCCAGGCTGTCCCCAGAGGAGCCTTTTCTAATTGGAAGAGAAAAATGAAACTTCTCCCTAAAGTGGCATTTTTCCAGTCAAACATAAGTGGGCAGCCAGAAGCTTGAGATCTTTCTCACATTCTTTATTTCCTTCTATTGGGGATCCCCCCACCCCACAACCCCCCAGCCATTAGCTCAGGCTGGGATAGCTGGGCCTTGGCTCCCGCCCAGGCCGGGGTGGAGGGTGCCCTCTGAGGCGGAGGCTGCTGCTTTTGGGGAGTGGCATTAAACTCCAAGGCTCTGAGCTCTGCTGTCACTCTGCCACCTCTGACATGGGCATGGTCACACAGGCCTGTAAAGACAGTATACAGGCTGCCAACTGTCTCTCAATAGAGACCAAACCCTGATGGCTATTCTTCTTTGCCCACCTGGGCAACTTCCCTCTCGGCAGCTAGGCACCTTTTACTTTTTGGGGTTCACCCCACATAGCCCCCTTTCAGGACAGCTAACACATAGCCATAACAATGGCCCTCAGTGTGGGAATCTGGACACTTGCCAGTTACTCCCAAAGACTACCAAGGACTGTAGAGCATCACTGGTCTACAGCAACTGCTGGCAGCTACAGCTACACTCAAACCTGTAAGAGCATCAAAGGTTAATACAACATATTAGTACAACGAAGCATAGTATTGGCACTATGGCCGCTTCAGGCAGCTAAATCTTCTGCTACTAAACATGACATATGGTAGGGCTATACAAACATCTTAGGGAGGTGACTAGAGTCTATTTTCGACCTTCCCACACAAGGTAAAATTGTCCTTGTCTCTCTGGAGCCATGTCCATGAAGATGCAGGCATCATCTAAGTCTATTACACAGTTTTCTGCGGGCTACTGTCAGGGCTGTGTATGCAGCCAGTTCTTCTTTCTAGCCATAAACACAGTCTGTCCAATTTCCTTAAAATGTATTCTGGCACAGGAGAAAGTTGCTTTGCTGTACACAGGCAGCTTAACCCCTATACAACTGGGCTTGGACCTCTGCCTAGAAACTGCAGTCTATAGGTTCAATATGCAGCCTCCGGTCCTCCTAACCCAACAGGGTTTCGGCCAGTCTCTGAGTCAGACTCCTCCTCTCTTGGAGAATTTCAAAGTCCTGATGGCTCCCGGGTCCAGGGAGAGTGCTCTTTTCTTTGCCCTTTTATTAACCCTGTTTACTAGTTACAGGGCCCAGCTTTCCTTGTCTTCCCAGCAGTCCCCTTTGTAGCAGAGCAGCGACTAGGCCTCTCCCAAGGGAGTGCACTGGAAGGGGATATCAGCCCCTTCTCTTCCAGCAGCAACAGGTACTGAACCCTTTTGGTACATTTGCCAACAGGGAGCTTTTACTAGCTCTATCTGTAGCTTTCATAGATCCCGGGCTTGCTGCTCTATTCCTCGGGCTGCAGGACGGCTAGTAGCAGTCACTGGCTTCTGGTTTAACTGCTGTAGCCTGCAAGCCAAAGGCCCAAGTCTTGTATTGCTTGTTGTAAAACACTCATTACTCATTGAGCAGCAGCGGGGCAGCTCTAGTGTCAGGTAAATTTCTGCTGGCCCCCACTTTCTTGCTGCTGCTGCTGCTTCTTTTAGGGCCACTGCAGGAAGCTCAGGCATCCAGCCCCCCTTCTTTGTCCTGGCTCTTGGGGGCTGAGTCTGCCTAGCAACCAGCTCTTAATCACCAGGGCGGCTGCAGACTTCAGCTCCATTTCTCCTCCACTTTGCTCCTGGGAGTTTAGTTGTTTTAATGTATTAGAATTCTGTATTCTTAGAAACCTTAATCTTTTAATGATTACCAAAAGTGAACAATCAGCATTTTTAGATTAATATTTATGACCTAGACCTTCTGTGATAAAACTAAGAACAGGTATCGGTCTAATTTAGCATTGGAAGGGTTAAAAAGAATAATCCTGGGCAGAGAAAGATTAACTGTGCTCACAGAAAACTTGTGACCTTGAAGTTAGTTGATAAGGCACCTGCTGGTAAGCTACAGACGAGGCCCCTACGCCTGCAGAGTGGTCTGCAGCCAGTAAAATAACTGCCAACACCCCCGCCCCTCCCACATCTCTCAGCCCAGGCCCGTTGCTTTCCCTCACAGCCTTCTAACTTCTACAACTTTTTTCTAATGTCTGGGGCAGACTAGGACACGAACGCTACGTTAATGGCCCACCTGTTCTCTGGAGCATCGAGGTCTATGGGTGTATAGATCCGATATGCCTCGCACAACCTCTCCAGGAACGCGGCTGGGCTCTCGTTCGGCCCTTGGGTGGTCTCAGTCACCACCGAGAGGTTAGTGGGCTCCCGAGCCGCTGCCCGGATGCCCCGCAATAGAGCCTGGCGGTACTGGTCCAAGGCCTCCCTCCCTCTCTGATCATTCACTCCCCAATCCGGTCTGGAGCTAGGGAACAGCCCCTCGATCTGCCTTGCATCCCCAGAGGGCTGCCCGTCTGGCCCGAGGACCAATTTCCTTCCCTCCGCCTTCACCCTCTCTCTCTCCTCTGAGGTGAAGAGGGTCTGCAGTAATTGCTGGCAGTCATCCCACGTGGATTGGTGGGTAAAAAAGACTGACTCCAGCAGAGAGATCAGACCCTGAGGGTTCTGAGAAAAAGAGGGATTTTGATTCTTCCAACTATACAAATCACTAGTTGAGAAAGGGACATAAATCATGAAAGGCTGGCTGTCCGGGCCCAGGTCTGGTGGCCCAGCCTACCTCAAGGGCAGGAGAGGTGCTGGGGCCGCTGGCCCAACACCCCCGGAAGCTCCATATTCCGTTCCCTGTCTAGTATGGGACGGACTGAAGGGGTTGGAGGACGACAAAGCCCCTCCTATCGGTGGGTCCGGAGGGAAGACAGTTGGCGTCTGGGGAGGCAGGGGCTCCGGGTCAGGAGCTGGTGGCATGGCGGGGGCTCACCCGGATCCAGGGCCGGGGGAATATAGGGGGGCTGCCGGCTAATTGGTTCTTCCTGCTCTCCCTGAAGGACCTGGGGAGCCCTTTCTCTTCTGGGGCCCGGCCAAAAGAATTGTCTGTCTCTGTCCCAATTTTCCCCTCGGGAGGCATGCCCTCATCCACTGGGGTTTCTCGGACAATACGTCAACCCAAACCTGAATATAAGGAATTTGATCAGGATGCCCTGGGCAGTCATATATGACATGATGGACCCGGTAGGCAGTGGTCATATCAAAAGACCCTGCATCGGGCCACCCCACCTGGAAAGTGGGCCACTCCCGTTCACAGAATCGCTGTAAATCAAAAGCATTAACATCATATCCATAGTCTCCGGCTCTCTTCTTGAAGTCCTGAAAATTCTTAAGAAAACATTGCAGCAGGGAGCACACAGAAGCAGACGACCCCTGTCCCATTTTGACAAACACCAAGACAAAAAATAAAAAAACCAGACAGACAAGTCCCATGCAACCGAAAGTCACACTTGCCAGATGCCGTGGTCACCAGCTTGAGTCGGGAGGTAGTGCTGCGTCCAGCCCTCCACATGACTGCCCACTGTGAGATCTCACCCCAGGCACCTCCTGTCCTTACCTCCTGCAGGATTTTTCAATAAGTCCTCGTCGCTTGCCCGGCAATGGATGGGGGAGAGCCTCCTGCCCTGGATAGGGGGTCCCTCTCACCCCTGCCGAGTATCTCGCTGCGGCCTCCAAATGTTATGGACCAACATTCGCAAGAAAAGGACCACTGACTCCAATTAGGTCTTAAGCAGCAAGCGAGGATTTATTGAGCTGGCCAGCGACCTCCACAGGCGTCTCCACGCAGGGAGCTCTCCTCCTGCAGCAGCCCCGACTTTGGTGCTAGGCAAGCTTTGATTCACAGAAACCACAAACGTCCTTCATTACAGCTGCAAGGGTCTAATCAGGGCCTTGATGAGCAGATGTCAGGAAGTAGGAAACTTGGTGTTATGCCTGGTTACCCATCCTTGACCCCATCCTTGATCTCTTGTCAGTTTACAGAGAACTCTAACTGGGGCACAGCT